GCGCGACAAACACTTCCACCTTAAACAGGACACATTTCTTTATGAATATCCTTTGCATTTAACCCTTTTGCCCACAAAAGAACGCACAACAGAACGCTGGTCTTCAGTAATATACTCCTCAAGCACGGTAGCCATTTTGACTACTGAAATCAGCCACTGAACATGCGCATGCGTGTCTGCTACCTTGACAATCATGAAGCTGGACTGTGCTGCTACCTAGTGATACACATAGAAACACTATTACGTCCATTGCAGCTGTTTTACTTCCATTTGTGACAGATTTACTGACTCTCCCGCAGAACGAAGATAATCTGAAATTAAAGTTCTAAACGCAGTGCTGTGAAAGCATATAATATTCATTTTATTTTTATGAAAAAGTGAAGGCAGGGTAAAGTTGCCACTTTGCTTAATTAATTAAGTACTACGCTATGAAGGCGTATGGAAAACGGAGGCAAGCTCCTCCATTGGCATCAGCACTAGATGTGACTCCAGATAGGCCTGTGATAAAGGAGTCAGGTATAACCTCAAATTATACCTTGTAATTGTCGACGCGCAAGCAATATTTCAATAATGGCGTGTGGGTATGCTTGATGATGTACCTTTATATCAAGGGTTCACTTGACTAGATCCTTTAAAGCGCGCCCACATTACTCGTGCTCGTGTGACTCGCTATGCTCGCGAGTAATGTGGACGATATGACAAGTCACGAGACAAGCAAATTTTTAATTTAAAAACTATAGCCAATAAATTAAAATACGACTACAGCCTATACACACTACGAGTAAATATACGGATCCTCATGAGCGAGCAACTGAATGAGTGTGGACGAAGATTTACGAGCACAGATAAAAGCCAGACGAGTCTCCCAACGAGCACAAGCGTGGCGAGCGCGAGCACGAGCACGAGTAATGTGGACGTGCCTACCGATTACTCTTGCCGAGGTTTTTGTGGTTTTCTCACTACCTCTAGATACATTCCGGGATAATTCCTTCAAATAGGCCACGACCACTTCATTTACAGTTTGTTTTTCGCTGTCCAGTAATTCGACACTGTGTAATCCTAGTTAGAGCGTAGTCCAGTAAACCACAAGTAAATGAGTTATTAAATAACAAATCTAGTCTTTCCAGTCTAGAAAACTGAAATTAACGGCTGTGAGAATTCGTTGCACTGACCATATGACACCCTCTATCCGCTAAAGCTGGCACTACTTCACCGACAATCGGCGGTCGCTCGGTCAGTATAGTTCGCTTGCGGACTACATGCCACGGAGTCGTTCCTTATCATTTTCGAACCTAAAGTGAAAAGTAAAGCATAGTTTTCGAAGATCTCTTAGCATGCGCTGTTTCAAGGCTCACGAATAAGTAGTTGTTATTACTGATAATATTGTCACGTATTTATGTGTGTTCGTTGATTGAACATCGGATTTTTGGCACAACTCGGAACTACAAGTAATTACAGCACCACTGCTGATCTCCACACTCTACAGTTCACTAGAGCGCCCGCTAATCCTTTTTCAGCCGCTCCCTGGCAACGGCTTCTAACAGTGGAGGTAGCGCCATCTATTTCCAGCCTCCCTTGCAGAGCTGAACTCTCGACTTCCAATCCTCAGCTCTGTGACGCACACGCGCGCGCGCGCGCGCGCGCGCACACACACACACACACACACACACACACACACACACACACACACACACGGTCATCACTTCAGCTGGCCTGGGGCCCTCGTTATATAGCTTCGGCTCTGATTCAACAGAAAACACTGTTTACAACAATTCCTCTGTTGTTGTGGGCGTGTTGACCGATCCGTTGCCTAGAAAGGACGTTTGTTTGTTCGTTCATTTCATAGCAACGGCTGTATTCGTTGCAATATGAAAATGAAACGCATGACGCAGGTATGGCCTACGGCGATTTAACTTTCGTGAAAATCAACCACGTGGTTCAGAATTTGGCGCGGGGAATACCCAGACACCATAGTGACCTCATCAGCCTACTTTTTCCTTATGGAATTAAATTAGGATGAAAGGGAAACTTTTGGACTGGACTGGATTGCCTTGGGATAGGGACCGACTTTAGATTTCTGTATATAATGATGCATCTTGGGGGGCTTGTGTGGATTTTTTTTAATAGTTGAATAGCTATCGACTACTGAGGGGAAGCTCACTTGACGCCGGTCCTCTCCCACTTTAATGTTTGTGATTGCAGAACTGAAGAGTATTCGTACCACATACCAGCCTCAGCATTTGGATTTAACTGTGCATAAAGAAATTCGTTGCTTTGGAAATGCAAAACCTCTTGAAGAGTCCACTAGAACCGTTCGTAAAGCAGAATTTTGTAGTATTCACGCATGTTCCGTGAAAATATAATACTTATTTTAATAAAAAAAAAAGTAAAGCTACCCCTGTACCAGGCCGTGAAGGCCCATAGGATTGTGAGACGTTGAGGTTCCCACATTATCTAGACAATCGGCTCAAAGATTGTGGTAAGGTTGTCAGTCTTGCGCGCCGGCCGCGCTTTACTCCCCAGGAAAATTGATTATTTAACTCCTGGTACTCATTTCTATTAGAGCCTGAGTAAACCCCAGGGCCATAGTGCGGCCGGAAGGATTAGGTCAATTGAAAAAATCCAATGACCTCATCGGTATGGATGTTAGAAAACATGTTCTGGTAAATCGGATTGGATTAAACTGGATGTATGCTATTGACAGACGGTTGCTTTGACAGCAGGGAGTTTGTATTCACCCGTCGCGCATTTAAGCTGCTTGGAGTTCACGTAACTGAATCCAGTTTTTCTCGTGCGAGACATAAGGCGGCCTTGTCCTCAGACCCGAGGCCGTCTGAATTATGCACACTGCCACCTTCTGGTATTTACTTGGCGTGTAATATTATACAGAGGTTATTGCATCTTGATGACCACTTTGCGTGTACTGCCGTTTCTCTTTTGTTGTTACAAGACTTTTCATGCCTGCGTACTCCCACACGGGTCCGTATACCCGTGAAACCTACAAGATAATGTTCTTAATTTAATTTCAAAATATGAATAATATTCATAATGGGGGAACCCGGTACAGGCGGTCTCGAGTTCGAGACAAAATCCAGAATTTGGTGAATACGAGGTTCCCATTATTTTTGTAGTTGAACTGTACATCCCTGTACATCGATAGGGGGTGGAAATCCCTCCCTCTGGATGTGGCAAGTGAGAAAATGCCGAGGTAAATTACAGTTGATTCATGTTTATGTAGATATGCTTTAAGAAAGTGGGTGTGATTGGCTGAACAGGTTAGATCGGGTGGGAGAAACAAACATGTATTGCATTGGCGGGCAGAATTGCCACATGGAAGACATGATTGAGACAGTATTATAATGGTTTGGATTTAGCTGGCTGTGTACAAGACGAAGAGTTGAGGTTTCGTGTTCTAGGAGTTGACGCTTTGGTTAGGTTTCACCTACGTGTGCGGACTATTGAGAAGGGGTTTTGAAAGCCGCTCGGATCCAAGCATTCGAACGACAAAAATGTGATATAGATGTGATAATGTGCTGCCTGGTCAAGGGACCGTGACAGGTGACGTAAGTCGGGGAAGACCCCCGTCAAGGACTTCATCTACCACGGATCTCATAAAATAACTCAGTAATTCCGGCCTCCACACAGGGAAGCCAGCGTTTAACCTTAATTAAGTCAGTAGCAGCCTCCGTGGTCTAGAGGTAACGTTCCCACCTCATGACTCGTAGCACGCGGGTTCAAATACCCGGCGGAGGTCGTAGAATTTTTAAGGGCGGAAAAATTCAGGGAACAAGTCCTCCGGGAGGGACTTCAAGCCGTGGGTCACGTGTCGTAACTTTACGGCACGTAAAAGAACCTCATATCCCCAAAGGAGGTCACTGAGCCAAATTACGGACGTTTCCCGCCCAACAGCAGTCACTAATACCTCCGGTAGATGGGGGAAGCATTATAGATACCTCTCAGCTAGTAGAGCCGATCTCGCTGGCTGGGCGGGACTGATGGTAAGCACCAGTACCGGTAGGATATAGAGACTGGTAGAAATCATAGAGGGAAGCACAATGGACCAATACAGGTCTAAGTGCATGGGGAAACCCACCCTCTCCAATAACTAACTAACTAATTAAGTCAGTAGTGGAAGAAATTTTGACAGTGTTTAATTAATTGCTTATTTACATTAATAATTAAACTGTTACTCAGACTACAGTTTCTCCTAAACATTGATAACATTCTATTACTTAGCTTTATCTTATGCATTCAGTCGGAAAGAAAGCGCTCTGTTGGATTAGAACGAACCGCTGTAATTCTGAAGTTCTGTAACGCACACAGGATGTAGTTTTTCTTTGATTATATATGCCTATGTCATTGTAGGGTGTAAGTTTCCGTACCATATCTACATATAAAGTCGAATTATCTTTATACATATAAGAATTCTGACCTGCATGTAGTGAAACTTTAATAATAAAGGCACGTTCTTCCATGATCTCGAGGAAGTATCATTTTTATATGTGGTTGGTTATTTTTATAAATGCAGCTTTTGTATAGACGTCTTTCTGTAAGTTTGTTGTACGCATTTCAGTGGCTGTTCGTCTTGCAGTACTGTAACGTTAGTCTTCGCGAGGCGTTACAGTACTGGCCATTGTTTGATTTCACTTTATTATAATGCGCCATTAAAGTGGTCCAAAAAGATAGGATCGAGGCGGTATTGTATCGGACAGTTATGTAATTAACATTGTTGGGGGAAAATGAGGATGACGAACAACCGTAATGGATTATTGGTCAGTGTTACATAATAACCTTGTATCATACATTCCGTTTTTGCATAGTACGTAACTTTCATAGATTCTTCCGTTTCGGAGCAGCCGTTCGGGTCCGTTATCGCGGGTATTGTATCTCAGTTCGACATGGCGTATGGGATGTAGTGTGCCCCTCTAAATTAATTGTGGATTTGTAGTATCTGTTGTAATTTATCTTTCGTGACCTAGGTGGAAGCACAATCCGGTATTTGTTGGGTTGAAGAAGTTCGTTGTTTGAATCCTGTGGACACGCGTAGCGCTAGCGTCTTTCAGCTGGATGGATCGATATGGCACGACGTCAGTTTTTTTGTGCTATAATCCGAGTGTTCGCTTCATTAACTCTCGTCCGATGATTTGATAAATTCTTCGTAGTTATATTTATTTCAGCTGGTTTCCTCATTGTTGTCTTACAGTAATGGCTACTGTTGATTAATGCTCTTGATTGGCTAATGATTCAAAACGAGGAAGAAAAAAGGAACATCAGTCACACTTATTGACCAGATAGCAAATGAGAAACACAATTGTTTAACCAAGTCGATATTCCGAGTCCAATGGAACTTATGAAGTAACAGTTAATATATAATTTTAATAATAATTACGCTTGAGCTTCACGATATATTATACCCGATATTTATGGCAGCTTTAAGTTTCCTTTAATTTATTTTAAATCACTGAAAGATTTGATATTAGCACTACAAGTGATTTAAGTGGCGGATGGTTTATATATCGAAGTTCTGTCGATATGTGGATGGGTGTAGCGTCGTCAGCGTCGAGACGACAGCAGACACCGCCGCCGTGGGCAGTTTTTTTGCATATCTCGCGTATCGGGGCAGACGTCATTGTTAGTTAAGACAGCGCATAATGCATGATATCGTCCATAAATCTTTCGGTGATAATGTACCGTAGTTCTGTGATATACGGCGGGTCATAAAACCAGTTCTTGCTAAAAAAGAAGAGGTTTCGCGTGAAATTGTGTTGTAAATAAATGGGTTATTTTTTGTTTTAGGACTCGATTCTGTGAGTGCTATATCGTCTGCCATAAATTAATAAAGTCTGAAATTCGTGTTTAGTTCTATGTACGTGTAATCACGCGATCCATAAATAACATTGGAGTAATGACAGTCATTTTTAAGATAAAAATATGTCATGAAGTAGTTATGAGTCTTCCTAATTCAGTAATTGATAATTATGTATGAAATACATGAATGAAAACTCTCTGTAATTACATGATGGAGAAACACGTTTACTTTGTAGTAATATATAAGTAAATAAGCGTTTATATAATTTGTGAATTGGAGGAAAATAATACGTCTTGAGATAAACGACACCTTCCATTGATTGCATAATGCAGTTTGGTGGTGCATTTAGTTACCAGACAGAGCCTGATTCATGGTGTGAGCCTCTGAATTTAGTGAAGAAAAAAAGTAAACCTGTGGCTGTTGTTGCACCATCTTCTGTAGTTGAAAAGAATAATCCTGAGAAAGAAATCTGCAAAGCAGATTCAACCGAACCTGTGATAAAGGAATCTGATGATATTGCTCCAGTGGATTTTGATGATAATTCTGGCAAGTTGGACAGCATTAGTCACCTTAAGGGTTCGGACAGTGCCAGACCCACAGGAATGTTAGAAGCGTTGCTTACTAGGAAAGACCCGAGTCAGTTGCAGAGGAACAGTGATTTGACCCAAAATAATCACAACAGTGAAAAGAGAAAAAATGGAGATGCGAAAGTCTCTGGCGGAGATCAGAAGAGTGGGAATGATAGCAAAAGGACCTCACCGGCCGAACACGCTGGATCATATCCCGGCATGCTCGGTGGCTTTGACCCTCTGAGACCTGACGGACTATACTCCATGATCCATAGCCTTGCTGCATGCGAGCACAAGTTCTTGACGGCTTTATATATGAACAGTCTGATGAGTGCTGCTGTGGCCACACCGCCTGGTGTCATGCACCCACCAGCACTGGGGTTTGGGTTCCCACCAGCGCCCAGTTACTTTGTTGGCTATGAAAACTCTGCGCTTGCTGAAGCCTGTCGCAGCAGCCTGGTTGCCAACAATGCCCCCATCATGAACAACTTGCTCTCATTTGCCGACACACAACACAGATTGTGGCAGATGGTGAACTGGCAGCAAGATAGGATAGGCCCCAACACTGCAGATACCTGTAACACCACCGTATCCTCAACAGTGGATCCTGAAAGAAGAAACAGTATTACTCCAGAACCGGCTGTGTCCAGTATTGTAATACCCATGCCCCATTTGATGACCTCAGTGCCTATGTCCGATGGAAGCATGTTGCCGCAGAAGCCGAAGCCCCATCCAAAGCGGTAATTGTTCCAGAAGCTCACGTAGCTGTAGTGACAGAAACATAACTGATTGTAGTGTTGCTATGTGAAATGAATGTGTAACTCTCCAGTGTTAATAATGGATTATCTTTACAGTATGGAAATTGAATTAGGATGGCCTAATTTATTGTGCATAAAGTCTTAGAAACGATAGAATCAGTTTTAAAAATAATTTATTTTCATATCTCATGAATAACTCCTTTTATACAGTTAAAGAATTTTTGGAGCATACAGTAAATAATTAATTACAGTGTTTAGGTTTGTATTGTCTATCTGCCTTGTTTGTTTGTGTTATGCTTGTGACCAGTTTCATGCCCATTGTATTTTTGACATGTGAAATGTATGTATGTAATGAAACCTCAATGTGGTGACATAGGGCACTAGGTAGTGTTTAACAGGTAGAGTGCGGACACATTTTATATACAGAGTTTAAAATGACGTGAACTCCCAAAAATTCTGCAATACCTCCCTATAAGAAAACTTTTCTTTGTTTGAATTATGGGAGGTCTTCAGGGATGCATCCCTCTTTGTATATAGAACTGAAATTCAGAGACAGTAATGTGGCCATTCTATTGTTAAACTATTTCAAACACAGATTACACTAAACATTCATGAGTCTGGAGTAATTGATGGGACTGGTCATCTGGATTAAGCAATAATTCGGATTAGTGAAGCTAAAGGCAGCAAAAAAAAAACAAAAAAACAAAAAAAAAAACTAACTAACTAACTAACTAACAACACAATCGTCTATGTATTCACAGTCCGTCGATATTGCAACAATTGTTTATTCACCATTTGCCACTTAACACAGTGTAACAGTTGGATGCATTAAAACACCTGAAGACCGCCATTTATAGCTAAAACATGTTGTGTTAAGTGTTAAATGGTGAATAAACATTGGTTGCATTATTGATGGGCTGTGAATACATAGACGTATGGTTAAAAGTTTTGCAACAGGATGCTGAAATACAGAATTAGAACACAATGGAAAATTTAATTATATAAGCAATGCTGATCAAAATAAATAAATATAATTATAGAGTCTTTATTTAAAATATTATATTTATTTATATATTCTTCGACAGAAGACTCAGAAGTTGTACGCAATTTGCAGTTTTAATGTAATAATGCAGGTTTGAAGCAACTGTCAAGTTTTTTCCAAACAGACAAGTGACTAATATGCCTTCATAAATGTCATATGTAAAGTATGTACTCAACTATGAACAGCATTTATCATATCCAGATTAGCGAGGGCTCACTGTAGTTTGCTGCTGTCATACAGCGCACTAGCCATATGAGTTTGGTTTCTTCAAAGAATTAAAATCATGGACCATGTATTTCTTTTGAACACTTTCGTACACGATGTGTTTGTCTCCTTATGACACTCAATTTAATCGCGTTGAAGTCTTCTCATTATGCCGAAAGTGAAATTTGAAATTCTTTCATATTAAAAAGTAATTGAACTCTTTTGTATTGTGGGCCGTTGACTTTTCCTAACATTTTTACTTGTAGTTTACATTAATTTAGCTTGATAATGTGGTTTGTAGGTATGGTGACAGGTTTGTTATGTTCATGTACAGTTAATTACCAACAGATCATGAACAAGGTATAGGGAAGTTATCTTCTGGAAACAGCTGTTTATTCATATGTAGTGCTTACAAAATATTTGCCATTTACAGGCTTCTGCTGTCGTCGTCGAAACAGGTTTGTTGCCCTTGGTGTGTGCTTGTGATTCAGGCAGTGACTTGCAAGATTTTATTACAGAGCATTTGAGTTGCTTGTCGCTTATGAATTTAAGCCTGATTTCAGCTTCATTCAAATAATTTTATCATCACAGTAAACTACACAGCTAATTAAGAACCAAGGTTCATGTTAACAGAACTTCATAATAGCTTGATTTAATTGCAGGTCATCTTCATTAGACCAGAAAAATTCCACCTCCTCGGCAACGGAGGGATCAAAAGCTCAGGACTCTGGCCAAACGAGTAATAACCAAGGTATCTTATGTGCTTTCACTTTTTCCTTGATATGTAGCTTTGTTTTCAGACAGAAGATGTGATCATCACCATTATTTTTATCCTGTTCATAATGAAAACTCCTGTAAATTAAGAATTGTGAACAAAGATAAAGAAGCAAGCCCCATTATTAATAATAACATTGTATTTAGCATCATATTATGTATAGAATACACAAAAAAAGACAATCTGCAGTTTTATGAGCCTATTATTAGGGTATCAGCCAGGGCAAAGTGTGTTTTTTTGTCCTGTAATAAATGTTTGAACGCGTAAAGGAGCCAACTGGAACAGAGTCATAAAATAACTACAGAAGTAGAAGTCCTCGTTGTTCACCCCGCTTAAGGTTACATTCCACATCAGTAAAAGTAAAGTTATCCCTGTAACAGGCCGTGGAGGCCCATAGGGCTCTGAGACATTGAGACTCCCACATTTTCTAGACAATCAACTCACAGATGGCGATGAGGTTGTCAGCCTTACACGCCGCCCTTTATCCCAAAGAATATTCCTGGTACTCAGTTATGTTAGAGGCTGAGTCGACTTCAGGGGTCATATTGCGGCTGGAAAGATTAGGTAAATTGAAAAGCTCCACCTTATTAGGGTTCGATTCCACGAACTTCCGGCTTTTGGTGTAGTGCCTCAACCAACTATCAGTATCGCAATATATTGTAGCTGAAGCTTTAAAGAAGGAAGTATACCGAGATTAAGAAATTACATTCTTCTCCTGTAAGTAAAGGAAAATCGCTGTTCCCACAGTTCAGTAATTTAATTCCATGTGTGTATGCTTTATATGACCTGCCACTGGTCTGTATAAGAGATCACATTTTGCTGTTCTTGGACAATAATTTGTGTTTTGTTTCAGATAAAAAGAAGCCACACATCAAGAAGCCGCTAAATGCCTTCATGCTGTACATGAAGGAGATGCGGGCGAAGGTGGTGGCAGAATGCACACTTAAGGAGAGTGCAGCTATCAACCAAATACTGGGCCGACGGGTAAGTGGAGCCCAGAAAGTTCAAAACTGTTTTAGATCCTGCGCTGTTGAACTCCAATCTTTATAAACTGCTATTTGCGGTGGTATATTGAGGGTGTCACTAAATCAAAATAAGTTTTTTTTTCTAAATTCATAAAATGTAGTTCCACGCTTACAGATAGATAATGGTGAAGCAGTGGATGCATTTTTTGTGTCTTGTGAATCTGCTAGAAATTTATAAAATTGTTAACTTTTGAAGACACTCTGTGTTAAGTGGATGTACATGTCTAATTCCTTGATATGGAATCAACCTTCACCATTTGATAGCTCTTTCTTCTGCTTAAGAATTTCGTTGCATTTGTGGAAACCAAATGTATTTGTTGAATTCACAAAACTCAGCTGTTGTAAACAAGGTGAATCTAGTCTGCAGTTTCAGGTACTCTTTATGTAAGGTTCCCATTCAATTGTAGGTCTCCCTAATGACCTTTTTCCTTGAGTTTTTTTGCCATTTTTTTATATCTCCATTTCGGTTGTGTCCCCCATGTAGCTCATCCATCTTCATGTAATTAATTACCCTAACAGTTCAGCAGAAGCTCCCCACAAAATAATATTCTCCATTCCTTTGTTTACTTCATTAGGTCCAAATATCAGATTCCCTCAGTCTCCTCTTTCTTCACAGTGAAGGCTCAGAATTTCAAGACTGTATAAAAGAACATTTGTAATTATACAAAGCTTTCCTTGAAAGACTGAATTGCCTCACCCTCTCAAAGTTAACCTGTGAGCTAGAATGTTGACTTTCATTGATCAAGAAAAGGCAGTCTAGCATCGAATTTAATGTGCCGTGCATTACAAACACTGACTTACTTCTGAAAGGAGGAGCTTCATAACTTGTACTCTTCTCCAAGTATAATTAGAATGATCAAGTCAAGGAGGATTAGGTGGGCATGGCATGTAGCGCGAATGGGGGAGATGAGGAATGTGTATAGGATATTGGTGGGAAAGCCAGAAGGTAAGAGGCCAGTGGGAAGACCAAGGCATAGGTGGGTGGACAATATTAAAATGGATCTTCATCATATGATGGGATGGTATGGATTGGATTGATCTGGCTCAGGATATCCTGAGTAGCTGCAGAATTGGCGGTTTCTCCAGAATGGATCAGATCCATGAGTGAGTAAGTAAGTAAGAAAGACATACTTCTGAATGCCTAGGTTTTTTGGAATTTGTCCATCATCTGTAATTTTTTAAAAACTAGAGAACTGAGTGTTTTGGGAACTGGGTGGATCAAAAAATCTAGTAATTCTGAGTGTTATACACCTTCATGAGAACCCTTTAGAGTGTACTGACATACTTTTCTTAATGTATATAATTTTTTTTAAAAGAGAACATCACAGTGGACGCTTCAATATTTCTGCTCTTAAAGTAACTCCAGGTATCTCATAAAAATTATTAGATACAAGTTTGAGTTCACTTACCTTTAGAGGTGTAATTGTTTCATAATTGTTGTGCTTAAAATCAGCCAGTATATGGGGATTATTTGAGTGTAGTTTAGTGTTTCGATTTCTCCACCTCCTGCAGTTAGAAATCTCATGGATTTTAGTCAGATTCAAGTTTGAGTTCGCTTCCTTGTTAGGTGTAATTGTTTCATAAATGTTGTGCTTAAAATCAGCCAGTATGTGGGGATCATTTGAGTGCAGTCTTGTGTTTCGATTTCCCCGCCTTCCACAGTTAGAAATCACATGGATTTTAGTCTGCAGACTTCTTCAGTTTCTTGAACCTGTATAATTTTATATGTCACCCATGGATGGAACATTTTTGTCAGGACTGGTACTTACGTGCTCTGGTTGTGTCAGGGAGGATTCACAAGGTGAATATTCTAACCTAGCTCCAGTTTCATCATTTTGTTTCTTTCAAATTGTGGGTTATGTGTATTGATTTTCAGTGGAATATGTCTGTCAATTTTCCAGGACTGTATGTGAAAAGTTGTACAGTAAATTCTGTTTATCCTCGTCTGTGCAGGTCCGTTATGGGCACTTCATCATCATCATCAGTAATCTGTCAAGACGACAGGTCCACAGTCTCTTTCAAAACAATTCCTCCACTTAATGCGATCTAGAGCTTTCTCCTTCAAATGACAGTATCCTCTTCTGTCCCCAAGGTCATCCAGCATCTTCTTACGTCTTCTTCCTCGTCTTCTTGTCACTTCTATCCGCCCATCTATCTTTCCTTCGATAGCTTNTCACTAGTTTCTTCCTCAAATTCAAGTCCAATTTGCTGGTGTAAAAAGATTCTTCTTCTTGCTAAATGCAGCTTTTGCCATGGCAATCCTGGATTTAATTTCACTAGTACACCTTCCATCATCTGTTAACAAGCTACCCAAATATTTAAAACATTTCACATTCTCCACTTGTTTTTGGTCTATCTTTATTGAGACTGGGGTTGGTTGTCTCGAAATTTTCATTACTTTTGTTTTCTCCACATTCATTTGCATGCCATAGCACCTTCCAATTTCAATTAGTCTATCAATCATGCCCTGTAGCACAGTTTCTTCCTTAGCCATTAACACAAGGCACTTAGACATAATAAATTTTATGTCTGCTTAGAGGTTTCTCAGAAGCGACAGCCATTACCACAGAGTAGTGCAAATCAAATTAAATGCGTGAAAATGCGAAACCTTTTATAATGACCATGTATTTACTCTACATAACTGATGTAACACTGTATCCAGGTATATGAAAATTTAAATGGAGTTTGTTCATACACACATCTGAAGTAAGAATTACATTTTTTTTATTAAAAATTACAGGCATAGTGATAGTTACTTATGATGGACTATCAGTTAGTTAGTTAGTTAGTTAGTTAGTTAGTTAGTTAGTTAGTTATTGGAGAGGGTGGGTTTCCCCATGCACTTAGACCTGTATTGGTCCATTGTGCTTCCTTCTATGATATTCTACCAGTCTCTATACCCTACTGATACTGGTGCGTACCATCAGTCCTGACCGAGCCAGCGGGTTCGGCCTCCACTGGCTTGGCGGTATCCATAATGCTTCTCCCATCTATCAGAGGTGTTAGAGACTACTGTTGGGTGGGAAACGTCCTTGAATTTGGCTCATTGACCTCCTTTGGAGATATGAGGTTCTTTTACGTGCCGTAAAGCTACGACACGGGACCCACGGCTTAAAGTCCCTCCCGGAGGACTTGTTCCCTGAATTTTTCCGCCCTTAAAAATTCGGCGACCTCCGCCGGGTTTGAACCTGCGTACCACGAGTCATGAGGGGAGAATGTTACCTCTAGACTACAGAGGCCGCTTGGACTATCAGTTACATTACTGCTGATCTGTAAATTTATTTTATATGTGTGTATATAAATAGAAGTGGTTAAAGAGATGTAGGTGTAATGCATTCTACATAGTTCATTTTTTCTTGTTCCTTTCAATTGCCTACTTTTCTGCTTTGGGGGGGTCTGGTGGTAGGTTTTTCTTTATGTCCTTTGTACAGAATATCTGTTCATCTGGGCAGAGGTATTGCACTTGGTTTTCTTTTCTCTTGTCTCCGAAAAAACTCAAAAAATATTGTGCGCTTGAAGTATTAGAGTTCCTGACATTTGGCTGCAACATTGAGCTGTATGTCCTCTTTTCTGGCCACCATATTCATCTTTATATTATCCTATTGTGGGGAGGGGACGTGTAATCTTGTCCTACATAGGATCCTATCTTTGCTCTTGACAGGAGGAAAAGATCATATCCGGAGGTATGGCTTCGACATAACAAGCAGAATTCCAATTGGTTCCTTTTTCATTGAAATTAAGTGCATACAAGCATCTCTCTGGATAATTTGCTCATGGTAAACTTCATGTCTCTTCCATTCACTATACATATTAAGTGATTGGCACTGAATTATTTCTGTATGGCTTGTAACTCCTTTTTGTAAGAATTAGTTTTGTTATGAACTCACTAAAAAGTTGTGTGAATTTGACATGTGCTTCAGTGTGACCTCTGCAGTGGGGATGCCTTTTTGAGTGTACATATATTTCGCATTTCTCAAGTCCAAAATACAAGGGACATGAAACTGGTCACAAGCATAACAAACAAACAAACAAACAAAGCAGAAAGACAATACAAAGCTAAAAAACATGGTAACTAATTATGTACTGTGTGCTCCAAAAATTCATCAGTTGTATAAAATGATATATGAATATAAATTATTTTTAAAATTGATTTATGTCCTTTCTAAGACTTTGACAGTGGTGAACTTTCAATTTCATAACAGCTAGGAATTTTGTGATCATTTGAGTAAATATTTAATTCATGCAAGACGTCATACGAGGAAATTGGTCGGCTATTTGTTACAAATACCATGATAAAGAGTTTCTCTTTTAGAGTTAGTAGTGCAACTACCTTCTGTCTTGCAGTGATGGTAATGATGCCATTATGCCTCATGTCTGTAGGGAAGCACCAGCCATCCTGATTTAGAGGTTATCTATCACGCCTGCTTTCTATACTGGCAGTTCAGACTTCATTCTTAGTCTGGAGGTCAGATGTCCAGGTTGAGGACTTCGACAGTTTTTAGGAAAATACTGGGACATTACAAGGGGCACGCGGTAGTGTAGTCGGTTGAGGCACTATGCTACAAGCTGGAAGGTCACAGGATCAAATCCCAATGAGGTCATTGATTTTTTCAATTTACATAATCCTTCCGGCTGCACTGTGGCCCTGGGGTCAACTCAGCCTCTAACAGAAATGAGTACCAGGAATATTCTTGGGAGTAAAGGGCGGCCGGTGCATCAGGCTGACGACCTTACCGCCATCTCTGAACTGATTGTCTAGAAAATGTGGGAACCTCAACATTTCACAACCCTGTGGGCCTCCAGGGCCTGTTACAGGGATACCTTTACTTACTTTACTGGGATATTACCTTAACAATGGACCGTGACATCTTTTTTCTTAGTTCATCATTATAAGCCATCCTTTGATTTGGTGCTATATGACTTACACATTAAAGCAGCATTGCTGAGTAGACTGCATAGATAAGACTTATGAGGGAACACTGTAATTTCATTTTCTTATCTCTAATTTTTGTGATTAGCAAAGTGTAGAATGCATTCATGGTGGGAGGTTCCCAAGTGTAATTTAGGGCACTGTTTGCAGCCCACTGTTTTAACTAACTTCAGGGTTTGATACCATTTAGGTATATTTTTAGGTAAATTTAGATCGTGAAAACTGAAACAAACCAGTCCAGTGGCAGGTTCTAAGAACATGGTAATGAAACTTCAGGTTCCATAAAAGGTGAGTAATTTGTTGACCAGCTGATCCACTGTCAGCTTCTCTGAAACTGCTCTGTGGGGGCTAGAAATGGTGTTTTTTATCAAATGTTGGTTAAGTTGGAAATACCATTGTTTTGTGGTTTTGGTTGCATATTTAACAAGATTGATTCACCATGTGTTTGTGTACCGGAGACAGTTATGATGTAAGAGTGTTTATAATTGCTGCAGAAAAGAAACTTTTGACTTCTTTGTGAATGAATTGCACAGTTACAGATTATAAAAATAAGTAAGTGAAAATTATTGTACCTGTTCAATTAGTTTGTGTTTGGAAACCGTGTGCATCATTACAATTTTAATACTGTGTTAAAGCTTCTTTCACCCCAAGCAGCCGTTACTTTCACTGCAGATTGTGACGAGTAGTGTGTACATGTTACATATTGATTTATAGTGGCATTCGCTAACGCGGGAAGAGCAAGCAAAATACTATGAGAAGGCACGCCAGGAGCGGCAGCTTCACATGCAGCTGTATCCGGGCTGGAGTGCAAGGGATAATTATGGATACGGCGCAAAGAAGAAGAAGAGAAAGAAAGAACGATCGGCTGACCCAGGAGGTACCCTCTCCAGTAGTGCTAGAACAGCAGTTTCATAGGGGACATGACACCTCCGTGATGTGCCGAAAATACCCAGGTCGGAACTGAAAGAAAGAAAAAAAAAGTCTGGGAACTAGAATATAAAATCCTTGTTCTGTGATGTTACATCTTTTTGTCACTTTGCTGAGCAGAATAGGTTGAAGTGGGAAAAGTGCATTTGGCCTCCAGAATCCCCAAAACCCTTGAAAGGGAGATAAGATAATTCTACTCAAGAATACTGAGGGTAATGAACCCCTCCCTGGCTGTTCTTCTAGCACGACAGAGACGGAAAATCGGAACCCCCTCAAAATTATACTAAAAGAACTTTCATCTTTACAATGCTTTTTTTTTAATTTGGAACATCATAAAATTAGCCTTATTTTTGTGTTTGTAATTGCTTGTTTTGTTCTCCCGTAGTGGCACGCGCTAGGCCGGGAGGAACAAGCCAAGTATTACGAACTGGCTCGCCGAGAGCGGCAGTTACACATGCAGCTCTACCCCGATTGGTCGTCTCGTGCTAACTCTTCCCGTGGCAAGAAGAGGAAACGCAAACAAGAGACAAATGACGGAGGTACATGGCGATGAACGTTGCATTGTTAATACCTACCGCTTGAGATTAACTGTGATACCGCGCCATATCAGAACCATTTCTGTCGTGTTTATCTGATTGGTTGAAATCTTTAAACCAATTGGATGAAAGCAGTCTTTGGATGCAGTATCAAGTTACATACAAGTGGAGAGTAATTTATTTTCTCCAGTTTGTTGCATGTGGATATTACATTTATAATTATTTATTTTCTACCATGAGGATTGGGGGTGCCTCTCTCTTGGTTGTCGGGCTGTCTAAAACAGTTTTGGGGTATGAGGCCATGTAATCTGAGGGGGAACCTATTCTGCTTACCAAAGAATTTTTTTTTTCTTAAGTATTATGCTTTTTGACTTCCAGATTTCCTCCCTTTTGAGAGGCGGAAATGTCCCTATGAAATTCAAACTATGATTTTGATTTTTGTGAACATTAATTTTCATTATTTATTTCATAAATTCAAACACAATTAAAGGGAAATATTTTAACTGCATGTCAATTATAATTATTAATTAATGTAAGTTTTGATTGCATGTACTTTGATGAATGCATGTTTGTATGTTGACTGTAACTGCATGTTTGGACTTTTTTTCACAATGCTGTGTATTAAGTATCCATATATTGATGTTGTAGGGAACAGTATGAAAAAGTGCCGCGCCCGGTATGGTCTTGACCAGCAGAGCCAGTGGTGCAAACCTTGCAGGTAATGATGCATCCTTGTGTCTTTGTATTGTCTGTGTACATGTTATGTGTGTTGTGTTCTTTGTTGTAGTCATATTTTATTTCTAGGGTATTTTTATTTCCCCCCCTTTTGGGTTGCATTTCTTTTCTCCACTTCTTTTTAATTTCATAATTTTTGTCCTGTTCAGGGGATAGAAAGAAGGGTCACTCTTTAGTGCACTGTCTTGTTGATTAGTAGAGTGTAAGCGAGAGCTGGAATCTTGATAACTTGCCAGATCTTGTTGGTAGGTAGAGCATTGTAGTGAAATCTTTCGATTGGGATGAGCTACTTGCAGCATTTTTCCTCTGAGCTGTTGTCTGCAAGGTATCTCTATCCATTAAAATTGTATATTGTAGACAGGAGTAACCAGTTCATTGCATGTTATTGAAGTTGTTAAGTTTTATTACATCCTGTAAGGATTTATCAGTTTAAGTTGCCATTTGTGCACCCTATCATGTCCCATAAATGTAAAGGGAAATACTTAAAGGAGTGACCCTTTTTATTTGTGTCATATCTTGAGTGTTCCTAAAGGCAGGAATGGGGGTTCATGCAAAAGGTCTCACTTTTATTTAAACATTTGGTGTCATCTTATCTATGTGGAAAGACTGTGCGTGCTAGATGTAGTCGTGAGAAGACACTTTGGTGTTTTTACATGTGAATTTATTTTTTTTTCTCTTCTGAAATGAAAATACTCAGTAGAACCCCGATTACTGGTATTGTGTAATGGGTTCACTGTGGCACTGACTAATACATTCAGATGTAGAGAGTCCAAATGTTCACACTCATCAGACTGATGTGTCTTCCACTGAATTCTGTGAAATGACAGTGCTTTCAAAGTATTTATGTGTCATTTCATAAAATTCAGAACTTTGACCAGAAACACACAAAAACACAAAGTGTAAATACAGTTGAGGACCTGCTGAAGTAACCAGGGTTTTACTGTGACGTGAATGTATAAAAGCAACAAAGTAGTATAACTGATTCATTCAGAAAATGTGTCTTCCCACAAAGAGAAGAGAAAACCCTTTCTTTGATTGGCTTATTTGCGTACAGCAACGGGTGCAGTGGCAAATGACAGTGAGAGCCTTTGATACTTTCTGGTGCATAGATAGACAACCACAGTTAATCATTAAAGGGGCATGATTTGGAATGTCACCTCTCAAAAAGAAATTTATTTTTTATAGTTTAAAATATGCATACCTGGGGGAAATGATCCCACATTTTTGATGAGAATAAGCTTTTATTACACTTGTTCAAAAAAATCCTTACAATTTAAGAAAAATCGTCTTCTCTCTCCACAAAATTCCTTTAATTTTATTTTCCAAATTTGAAGCATCTTTGTTGACACATTTTCTGAAATGCACATCTTGTTTCAAGTGGATCAACTAATAAACCTCAATTTAAAAGTATATAGTTATTGTAAAAGGCATTGAGTGACATGCAACACCTGTGTTAGCAGGATGATAAAACAAAATTGATTTCTTAGAATGTGAATCTCCATGTCTTTTGTAATCATGTCATTTAAAAAAAACTGTTGTTAATTGTTGATTTTCTGTATTTTATTAATTTTTTATTGTAATTTTTGGTACAATAAGATTGAGAAGGGAGTGACTTTAGTGCCCCTTTAATGCTAACTGATGTTTCTATCTTGTGCGGCGGATGCAGCCCGGACGGGCCGAGCCATGGGAACCCCCCCGGGCATCCTCCCGGACACCCCCCCGGCCCTGGACCCAATCCCACAGGGCTGGGGGTCCATGCTAGTATAATCCACCATGGTAACACTACCACTAGCAATGCGGCCTCCCCGCAGGAACCTACCTATGTTAATCTCTAGTCAAACATGCGCCCACGGCCAGCTGTGAGTGTTTTACATTACCGTTCCATATATATGTGTCACTTTGTTTGCTACTAATTGCATGGCCTAACCAAGATTGGCATTACTCTCTGTCCCATTTCCAGATTAAAATTGTATCAATATAACTTATTCCCTCAGTTTGAAGATTGCCTTGAAATCACTGAACTAGAAAATATTCTTTCTAGTTGTCTCAAAATTATGTCCCTAATTTTTAAACTGTGAAAGAGAATTCACCTTCAGATATGAAATGTGTTTGCAGTGTGCAGTGTAAGTACATTTCTTAATTTCTCAACAGCCGGTCTCAGGTTTTATCTTGTTGATGGCAACTGCCCTCAACACTGTTTGTTCCCTAATTGGAAAGCACACAACAGACTGAAAATGATATGTTATTTATTTTTTTATTTACCAGATGATCAGTTGGCTGATTACAAAAAATTACCCTAATCATGTTTCAGAAATACTTAAAGATTGACTTCAGTGATTTAAAGTAAAGCCATTCACTTCGTTAAATTAATGTATTTGTTAACGAGTAATGAAATGGAAGTGATTCGTTTACCAGTTTTAAAAATACTGGATGATGGACAAAGTCCAAAAATCCAGTAACTTTGAAAATGGAACTGTTATGAATTATTCAAATTGACCGATTTAGCCACTAACTACAGTTGGTCCAGCTAGACCGAGCCAGTGCCTTAGGCCATGTGACACCAGTATGTGTTGTATGCCCTGTTACAGCATGAGAGCACACCATTTATTTCTTGGTTTGTTTGCTTGTGTGAATTTCTTATAAAAGCCTATTACTAGGGGCAAGAAATATATAAGCCAAAATCTGGATCAGGCGCAACCATCTTTGGAAGTCCGGAACAAAACTCGTTCCATATCCTCCTCTTTGTTCTTCAGGTGCAGGAACAACTGCACTCTTTGAGGAGCCATTTCCTCAAGGACACAGACACCATTTAGCCTCTTTTTTTAATGCTAGTGGGGTGGGACTAAGTCCTTTGTACTGCGGCCACTTCTGGCCTATTGTGCCAGCCCGAGATGATAGGTGAGGGTGATTGTGGAGCAATTGCTGGAATGAAGATTGGCAGGGGAAAACGAAGTACTCGGAGAAAACCTGCCCCAGCGCCACTTTGTCCACCACAAATCCCACCTGACCAGACTGGGATCGAACCCGGGCTTCTGCGGTGGGAAGCCAGCGACTAACCGCTTGAGCTATGGCGCGTCCTTTTAGCCTGTTAAGTGAGCAAACTTTTGGAGGAACAATGTTTCCCATCCTTAGGGCTTAAGAATAAGACAAGCAAGAAACTATCATGAAGGACGTGCGAGCAGTGTCATGTCTCAGAAGACAGGATTTTCTATAACCACTGCTGTGAGAACCTCAAATCCTACAACCCCACCCCTTTATTGACCATATGTGTTTGGTCAAAGACAAAACAGTGCTGCTCTGTGTTGCCATACATGACAGTAACTGTTTTAATCCATAAGTTTATTAGGTGTCTTCCCATCTGCTGGATCCTAGGAAATTGATTCTTCACATGCTCATAGTTTCAGTAAATATGATCAAATTCAGTATGTGTGTAACCACTGCTTTCGTCATATCATTCCATTGTCTTGAAGTAGGCAAATGTACACTTATGAATGTTGGACGGTTTTGATCTCTGTGTGTATAAGTTGATTCTGATTCTGCACACCGCACAACAGCAGTGCTAGAACTACTTCAGGAGACGCTTGTCTGTCATATTTGCCAATTCTACCACATCTTAGCTGGAAGGTATCAGATTCAGGTTGAATGTAGTTTTGTTCCCACATTCAACTCTCGGTCCTGGCAGCTCCACAAAAGCTGCGTGAATGATGTAAGATAGCTTTGTTTGTATTTCTTGCCCCCCCCCCCTCCACCAGTTTTTGTAATGTCTCCTGTCCATTCCATCTCTTCTGTACAACTTGCAGAAATATTCTGTTCAGACCAATATGTTATGATTTTCAGGTGTTTTTGGAATGTTAACTTTTAACACTGAGTTTTATTTTCCCTGTAAGTTTGTTTAAAATCTTTATGAGAACAAGATTATTTGCCATGCTTGCTAGTGGTAGTTTTTCATTTTTATTTAATAGATAATTACTATTATTATTAATCTTTTGGTATAAAGTTTAGCTGACTGTTGCACTTCTTTTTTTTGTGTGTTTTATAGATGTCATTGCACATGAGAATGATGTATCTGCAAGAAGGAACTCTTGTAATCAAATGCCACTTTTACAGTCAGTTGGGTGCCACCCACACAAATATGTGTTAACCCTTCAGTGTGTAGGATTGTGAACTACACACCTGACATGTGTTTGATTTGTTGCACATGCTTTTTGCATCCTTTGTTCATGTACCTGATGATTTGACCTTGTTAATAAAAGCAGATGAAGGTGTAGACTGTTGATTTATCAAATACCAACTCTGTGATGGAATTCTCATATTCAAGAAAGTCTGGGAAGAACTTAAATCCACATCCTTAAAATGCCTTAATGTATGTTGTTTGACAGGAATGAACTCTGAATTAGTAAAAGTACAATTATGTGATTTATTACTGTGGATTGTTTGTGCAGTTACAGATTCACAATATGTTAAAAAAATTTGTCATTATGTTTCATCTATCTCCATGCAAAATTTCACAAACCCTTCTTCAGTTTTTCATTTGTTAAGGTTGCAGTATTCTGGGATTTGGTGCCATGTGTGAGGAGTTCAATAGCTAGGTACTAATGTTTTGATGAGTAGCCTAGCCTGAAGATGGGAGCAGCAGATTCCTCTGAAAAATTAATATCTTGAAGGTTGTGGGTTTGATTCCTGATGATGTCATCAGATTTCTCAGTTAAAACAATTCTTCCAGCTTCACTGTGGCCCTGAGGTTGGCTCAGCCCCGATATAAATGAGTACCAGTAATATCCCTGGGGGTAAAAAGGGTGGCTGGCGTGTAAGACTGACAACCTCACTGCTGTCTGTGAGCCGATTGTCTAGAAAATGTGGGAGCCTCAGCGTTTCACAACAGTATGGGCCTCCACGGCCTGTTACAGGGATAGCTTTACCTTTTTTGAGTGTCTGCACATGTATAAAGATTAAGTGTAATGTGAATTGATCCAGCACTGAAGGGTTAAGATGGAACAGACATAGTCTCTTCCTTGCACATCCAAGTAACTCTTTTTAACAATCACAACATAATAGATAAACTGCTGTCAGTGAGTCTTATTATAATTAAACACAGAGAGCCAGAATATAAAGTTGTTATTGAAGTCTTTTTTCCGCTGGATGTATACATTGCATCCACTGTAAGAGAGGCTGTAGCTGGATGCAGAAGACTTGAAGTGATGTCATATTGCATGCACGAGTGGTGGTGTGGCTCAGTATCAATACTGTAGTGTCAAGGTGGATGTTGATTTGTGATACTTTTTCAACTATGAATACAGAGTCATGTATAATGAATATATCAAAATAAGTTACATTGAGTTTTAAAACTTTCCTGATTCAATTATTAAGTATGAATTTCATGATGTGCTAGAAATGTTATTGTATACAAGCTTTATTTCACTGCTCAGTGTTCTTATACATGAAACTGAGCATTCAGTTTCATTTCCAGTTTGACAATAGATATATGTGACTTTTGGCTTTGACTTGACCTATTCAACCATCGTCTTTAGATGGCCTACTCATGTGCCACTTCTTAGCAGTGCTGTACTGCAATTTATTTTAAATCGACACTAGTGTAACATCCATTGAAAATTCATCGAGGAGTCTCATCATGTGTTGCATGGTCTTTCATACTGTTAACTTCTGTACTTTCCCCCATATACCTCACTAGTCCTAAATGTTGAAGAATGATACTCCCCAAGGCCTACAGNCTCTACTGGCTGAGAGGTATCTCGATGCTTCCCCCATCTACCAGAGACATTAGAGACTACTGTTGGGCAGGAAATGTCCTTAATTTAGCTCAGTGGCCTCCTTTGGAGACATGAGGTTCTTTTACGTGCCATAAAGCTATGACACGGGACCCACGGCTTAAAGTCCCTCCCAGAGGACTTGTTCCCTGAATTTTTCCACCCTTAAAAATTCCACGACCTCCGCCAGGTTTGAACCCGCATACCCTGAGTCATGAGGTGGGAACGTTACCCCTAGACAGCCGCTAAGGCCTACGGTTGATGCTATTTCCTTCTAACAACATTCACAGGTAGCAGTCAACTATATAATCTCTTTTCCTTATATAGTATACTGAACTTCATATCAGAATATCAGTACTCGCAGACTAGACATGATACATAAAAAAAAATGACTGCTTCCTTGCTTATGATCTGTGTAACTTGTTTTTATTTGCTGTATTAATGCTAACCAATTCCTTACAATGGTAACCTGAAGTTGGCTATTTTCAGACCTTTTGTCATGCCATTATATTACCTTTCTATATATAGAGAAAGATTTTGATAAAATTGTCATTTCAGTACATCTAGTAGTGTCTGGAAGAATGATACTTTGTGGTACACGTCCTTGGGAGTAGACGCCTGGTGGAAACAGATGCATGTGCATCTTTACCACTCTAAAATTTATATTTCTTCATTTCTGTAAACTTATTGACATCTGTAAAGAAATGAATTACCTGTTACCTGATTTGGCACAACTCATAAACGGGACATGGTCTGTTCACAGGTATCTGCTGAAGCTTATGTGGAGCAGCTAATTATCAAATTTAATTAATAGAAATATTGTAAATTCAAAGAAAGATTTGCTCTTTCATGGCTTGAACTAAATGAAATGAAACTTTCTTGAAGTATATTATTCTAAAATGTAACTTAATGAAATTTCATAGCAGTTGCAGGGGTGGATAATTAAAGCATTGTAGGCACAAACATTTGTTTTCCCAAAGTTTACTGAGTAATTTAACACGGCTGTAACACAATATATATTTAGGAGGTAATCCTTGTGAATCACTGCAAGGAATCTCCTTTTCTCAATGAATTTAGGAAGTTCTTATAGGGGGCTGGGGACAGCAGCGTATAGAGGTAGACCTGTTCCTTTATAATTACAGTTGTGCTTCGATTGAGGAGTTCAGCAAAGTGTAACATTTCAAATTATTCGAGCTGTAACAAATATTATCCCTTCAGGCAGCCTAGATATTATGTTCAAGCAATATAATCCTCTTAGATACATCATTTTATTCTTCTTGATGATAATGATAACACCAAAAATTAGTGTGACAGATGTTAGCAGATTCAGAGATCCCCTTAATTGACTTTTGACATGAAATGGCCACTTATTTCTGCTGTTTTCAAAGTGGAGAAGACAATTTGGATATAGTTAACAGTAGGTTAATACAAAAAAAATTAGAAGTGTATTAATAAAATAAAAAAGTTCTCTTGTTTATGTGTTAGAAGAATTTGTGGAGGGAAGTAATAGAAGAATTTGTGGAGGGCAGTAACTAACCTCATTTGTTATGTATTCATTATACATCACCTGTATTCTTGTGGTAATAGTGCGGCATTAGCTTGGATGGTTTGTCCAGATGTTTGACTGCATGAATTTAATTGTTTTTATGTTACAAAATGGCCTAAAATATTTTGTTTCAGGCTGTATCTTAGAATCTCAGGCAAAATAGTTGGTTGACCAAAACCACAGATATGTTGTGAAAATGTATTCATGCTGTGTTAAAAAGGCTGATAAATACTGCTATAATCAGCTGATGAAACAAAATATGACCATAATGTGAAAACTAGTGACAGTAAGAGGTTAATGTAGAGGGAAGCACAATGGACCAATACATGTCTCAGTGCATGGGGAAACCCACCCTCTCCAATAACTAAGAGGTTAATGTGATAGCAGTCAGAGTTATCAAGTTTTCCTAAGTTGTATAAACTGTTGTCCCATGAAATGTCATTTTTCAAGGTTTTGCTTGTGTATTTTGTCCATACATTTATTCTGAAATAAATTTCCATTGCTATCTTTCCCTGTTTCAAGACAATCTCCATGAAAGTATGTGGGTAAAGAAAGAATATTACTGTATACTGAGCAGAATCTTGACAGGCAAAAACAATAATTCCCTCTTACTTACAGCTCTGTGAATACGTAATTTTGTATAGATTTCAAGTAACAGTGTGCAGAAACCAAGTGCAGGAGGGACTATCTGTGAAGTTCTTTTTCTTTGCATTGTTAGTGTGAGGGACTATACAGCTGTGTACAGTAAACCATAATTACATCCACACAAAGCAGATAGCTGATAAAGTAAAGAGTGTGCTATGCTGTCCTTATCTCATATTTTCTTGTCATTATCTAAATATCTGTATGTGACATTTTTATCATTTGATCTAGGTGTTGTATTTTTGTAATTATATATCTATAAAACAGGCAGGTGACTTATTCTTTCATTCATTTATTTTACATTCCATAGATCCACAGTACAACAGGTAGGATATGGAAAACGTCAAGTGGTACATATATAAAAGACAAATAAGCCAAAAAAAGGAATAAAATAAAAGATCTCTAAGATCAAACTGAAGAAAATAAAAATGAAACCTAGTGGCCCCACAGCTGTGTTGCTAGTATACTTGATGTTGAACTGGCTAGCACTTAATTTTATGCAGTGTGTGTTTCTGTGTTCATTTTTATTAATCTTTGTTATTTAATGTGAATTTTTGTTTTATTGTAACCATTCTTCCATCATGTAGTATAGAGAGTAAAGGTTCTGTTCTGTTATAAGGATACATTTTGCAGCAAATAAGGCATCACGTGGTAGTTTTTAGTCATGTTAATCATACATTGATTACTGTACAGGCGCAAGAAAAAATGCATACGGTATATGGAGTCAAATGAGAGTATGGACGGGAACCAGTCTGAGGACAACCTGGGGAGCTGTGGCAGCGTGGGTGATGCAAATACTCCTCCTGATGATGACAGGGAGAGTATCAACCACTCATTATCAAGTCCAGGTGGACTGAGCGGACTGTCCAGTCTCACCAGCCCCTCTATGATACTACCGAGCCCAAGCACAAGCCTGGCCAGTCCGTCGGTGAGTCTGGCGAGTCCATGCATGAGCTTGCAGAGCCCATTGACGCCTCATGACACCTCTGCGTTTGAGTGCAAGACCCCAATGAACGGACTTGGTGGAGGTATCTTGCCTCCTCATCAACCCCCCTCGGTTTCCTCAAACACAGGTAGCAGTGGAGGGGTATTACCTTCTGTGCACCATCATCATCCTCCACACCACGCTCCTGCCGGTCCACCTTTGCATCGCAACCCCGTGGGCACAAACCCCCACGATATTAACAATCCCCTGAGTGTGAACCAGTTAACGGGACAGTGCATTAAGACAGAGAGTGGCAGTGGCAAGGACTCGTCTTCGAACTCGGCTCGAGCTGTGATAAGTGTCACGTAGCATTTAGCCAAGCGGCCAGATGTCACATCACCACGGCCAGCGGAAGCCGTGACCCAGGACATGGCGTGTTCCTTAGAAGCATCTGACTTTTAGCATGCATTGAAGAAGCGAATGCATGTGGTGATGGCTTTTAAGACAATCAAGTCCACAAGGAAGAAGAAATACTCAGGACGAAGTGTCAAAAATTAACAAGATGTGTAACAAATTTAAAGAAACTGCATTTTTTGCAAACTTTTTTCATACGTATGTGTGATTTTTTTTTGTTTTGGCCAAATATGTGTCACAATTCATCTTTTTTTATTTTTTCAAAGAAAGAAAACGCAAAATAATGTTCCTTTGTGCCAGAAACTTTATTTCTCTTGTTCATGCTAATGTTGTTTGATTTTTACAAGTCTATGTTATGCTGCCAATCATGTGCTGTGTTTCTTGATTTGTTTTGAAGAATGATTACATGTTTTTAATCTCTCATATGGGTCTAGCACCAACTGTTTTGTAATTATTACAAATTGGGACTTACACTCCGGAATCTCACTGGCTGATAACATCACATTTAAACAATATATTTTAGAAAGTTCAGCTGTCCCATGAAAGATTTACCAACCAAAGCTCATAATATTTTGTCATTGTTGTCAATATTTCATTTTGTCCCCTACGTGATGTAAATGTATAGATTTTCTGTTGAATTTTTAAAATTTACGTATGAAGTTGAGAAAGCATATTGGATATATGAATATTGTACAGTACGTATATGCGTGGAACAGTGTTTAAGGGTCAGCTGGTGGCCACATGAGAGAGATGAGTCGGGCAGAATCTTGCCACATATTTTTATTAGTCCTAATTTTACAGACTGTCTGAAGAATCAGAGTTTGAGAACAGTGATTGTGGAAGGAAGTACACCATTTTGCTGTGCCTTGCTTACAGTATATAATGAATCACGTGCTGTATAAGTTTGTTACAACAACAGATTTCACCAGAACATATATAATTTGCCATCATTAAATGGTTCTTTTTCACAAATTCAGATTCCATAACACAGGACAAATGTCACATACCCACACTCATTCTCATTCATGGCTGCAAATACCAGACACAACTTGAAATGAAATGTCAGATTTACCATTTGATTATAAATACTTACTGTATAACACAGTATACAATAATTTGTCTTGAAAATATTCTTTGTACATATGAAAAATATTTAAAATGAACTGCTAGATCAGAAGGAACAGTGGTTCAGCAAAGCCTGTCAAGTTATAAATTGTGGGGCTTTATCTGAACTTTTATACCAGCCTTGGAATTTGTATGAATTCTTAAAGCCATGGATGTGAGAAATTTGCAGCAAGAAATGTGATTGTGTTTGTACTGGAAATCCTTCATAGCATGGTTCGACGAGATTATTGTAGAAGATCCTGGTGAAGTATTTTTGATGTAAGTAATGCAAGGTTATATATGAAATAATACAGTAAACTCTCGCTGATCCAGATTAATTGGGGTGGTAATCTGTATTAACCAGTAATCCATATTAATGAAACAAAAGATTGCCTGAAAAGACCAAGGAAAAACTTAGAAAACAAATAAGTGGGAAATGTAATACAGGGTGTTCAGTTAAGGAGGAAACTTCGCAACACCGCTGACCCGGCCCAACATTCCTCACAGATTGCTACTGTAACTGCTGATAGCAGAATGAGTCATTAGTGATGATAAATCTGAGCCGTTACAGTTACAGCAGCAATCTGTGAGGAATATTGGGCCCGGTTAAAGGTGTTGCGAAGTTTCTGTCCTCGATTGAACGTCCTGTAGTATAGGTAGTGCTGATGATAATAGATAAAAAAAATATAACTGCAGAAAGTTCTTCCTCTGTCATAAACCGAAATCCAGGATCTCCTTCATCCTGCTCAAACCATTCTTGGATATAGTCCTGAGTTGTATCAGTCTCTCCAGCTGCCCTCAACACAGTCTGAAAGTCGTCTTGATCCTAAATTACCAGTGTCTTTTAAAGTATGTACTCATCTGTGAACAGAATATTTCATATTTCAATATGGATTAACTGAAACTGGATTAGCGAGAATTTAGGCAGTGTCTACACGAGTGCACAAAATGCGTCCGTTGTAACAAACGTACTTTGCTGAGGACACCACACAGTTGGAGAATGCAGTGCATAGTTTTTTGTCTGCAGTGGAGCCAGAAGAAAGCATAGCATTCGCCTCTCTTGTTTATATCTACAACGGATGTCACGATGTTCGTTACAACAGAAGCCTTCTGTGTGCTTGTGTAGACGCTACCTTACTGTATGTTTTAACACATGACACTACCTGTTCTCAAATAATGCATTCTTCACAAAATCGGTATAAATGAATTTCCATACACAATACTAGGCAGAAAGACAGGAGAAGTAGTACTCTGTCCCTCTGAATTTTTATATGTTGATTTTAATGTGCGTGTCTGACCAGTGGAGTTGTATAAATGTGATAATGTTCAGTTGGTGGAAGCCTTTGTCAGGCAGGCTTCACATACTTTGTGCAATTTTTGTTTCTATTCTTTGTTACATCAGTTCATTTTCATGATAACAAAACTTTTGTGCAGGAAATACATGGCAAGGTTACCATTTTAAATTGCTCTAATGATATTCTTTTATAAATATATTTTAAAGAAAATTAAGTGATAAATTGTATACACAGTAAACTTCACTGTATTATATTTGCAGAGAGAGAGTACCATATATTGGATCGGAGGAATGTAGAAGTGAATGGCCAATATGTTCCGCATCAGACGGTCCAAGTTACATATGTTGGTATGAGTTATACAGTGAGACATTAACTCGTGTAACCATGTTTAATATTTTGTTGTTTGTTCATTAATTTACTATATATATGACGTGAGCAATAGCTCTTAGTAAATTGGCAGTCACCAGATATTATCAGTGTGCTTGTAATTATACAATGGAAATTCAAAGTGTGGGAATGTGCACATCCTCATATACTTCGAGGCTGATAAATGGTAATCTTGCTGTGGACAGAACGTAATGGAAAGCTTGTAAGTGTTGACAGAACATAAATACCCTCATTTTGAAACGAAAGCATTTAAGACAGTTTTAGAGACATCTGGGTGACCTGCATGTTGTGAAGCTCCTGTTGAGAATTAAACAATTGGATTAGATTATTTTTAACTCTTTCTTTATTGTCAATTTTACCGACCAAGCGACCACTGATTGTCCGCAAATTTAAGTGCCAACTTAGCGGATAGAGGGAGTCGTGTGGTCAGCACAACGAATCCCACGGCTGTTAATAGTTCACTTGCAGACTACAATCATGGAGTTTTTTTTTTTCTTGTCAAATTTGAATGTCCCTTTACATAAAGACATTCCTGTTCTTCGAAATGTAGTATTTATCTTGAGTGAAGATATGCATGCATAACAAACCCACACATACATTGTTTATCCTCTCTGGATACCGGTCTTCTCTTATTACAGACTGAGTCTTGTGAGTTCTGATGATTTATGGATAAAGGAAAGTTTGCATTGATGCATCTAAATTGCAAATGTTACTGGAAGTGTTCATGGAATTTATTACATTTATTCTGTGTGAACATGGATGACAACATTTGTGACAAGAAAATTATGTTTTCAAGGCCCAGTCTGAAAGAAGCCTGACTGGGTAACAATCAAATCTAGTGTGTGGCTTAGCATAGGTAGAAATTATACTGAACTTTAATTATTTTTCCGAAATTCTCTTTGCAAATGCGTCACAGAGTAGAGTGGCCATACCCCCTGGCCACTGTGACCCAGAAATGTTATTTGAGGCTTATTTTATTGCAGAACAGTGACTCTGATATTAGGTCATCTGCAGTACATCCCCACCATTGCCAAGAAATGAAGCAGGAATTGTCATCAAGTATTAATTACCACCAGTTGTCCAAATATTTTTTCCTTTCCAGTAAAACTTTCTTTACTGCATGAAACTATATACATGCAAACAAACTTTGAGGTTCCTATCACTGACCACTGCTACTACTGGTACGCAAATGTTGTTCACTTAATGTCACATTAGCTGGTGTGAGGTTACCTCCAACACTGAATTTTGGCTTGTGGGCTTTGTCACATTAGCTGGTGTGAGCTTACCTCCAACACTGAATTTTGGCTTGTGGGCTTTGTCACATTAGCTGGTGTGAGGTTACCTCCAACATTGAAATTTAGTTCGGCTTGTGGCCTTGTGTATTGAACTTATTTATTGCCATGAAGCTGAAAACTACATATAAATTCCATGCAGTAACCCCCCCCCGCCCCCCACGCCTCCAAAGAACACTAAAAGTTCTTTTTACCATACATAATGTCATGCTACTCTATTAAGTGTCACTCCCATCTCACAAGTTTGTGCGTCTGTCATGTTACTCCTGCCACTTAGTATGCTGGGCTGACCTGTATTATCATAATATCCATACCAAATTTCAGGAAACTTGGTCAGCTGGTTCAAAAGTTTAAACGGAGGAGACACATACAGACAGCATGGCGATCTCATAAGCCTGCCTTTTTCCTCAAGGAAGGAAAGTAGGCTAATAAGGGATGCAACACTCTTTATCCTCTGTTGTTAATATTCGTAGGTTCTTCAGTCACTAACATCAAACTTCCCTTATAATTATAGGTTCTATGTCGGTCTTCTTTCATTCACGGAAGGATCAGTTTATAATTTTCTGATGTCTTGGTTCATATGTTTGGTAATAATTATCTTTACTCTTCTTTATTTTTCTGACTCCTTCTGTTACTGATAATAATAACATGACCTTTATATCTAATCTTTTATCTTTGAAAGCGAGTACGTATGATACTGTATTTTACTATTACAGAATTGTCATTAAATCTTTAGCTAAGGCTCTAAAGTTAAATTCTGTCTTTTAGCAAAACTTCATCCAGTGACTTTGAAGCTGAAGAATGAACTGAATGATAGCCTGTAATCTTACCATATACAAGTTGGACAAAACGTTAAATGTGCTTTGTTTTGGAACATGAATGTACAATTTGTGTCTTGCGTACATTTTGTTTTCCTGAATACTGCGTGTTTCATATATACAAAACAACAACAGGTTGGTTCCATTTTTTTGTGGTATCCACACACATTCTGCATAGGCCAAACAAGATTTTGAAGGCAATTCAAACCATGAGAAACAAAATTTTATATTTATTCATGTCTGTTCATTTCCATGCTTCAGACTACTACTAAAATGATGATTTAGAAGCAACTTATATGCGATGCTTAGCCAAAGAAAACATTTTAAGTGGTAGCGGGATAAATGGAGGTTTTATTTTACATACAGTTTTGCCTTGTTACAAGTCCAGTATTGTTGCTTCTCATTTAACATCAGATTCCTACCAGGGTCCCAGAAATATAAAGTTGCTATACACTGAAGAAGAATGTTGTATAAGCCACACAACCTGTGGTCACTCAGATGTATTCTAACATACGAGGCTTATCTGGTCATATTGGAATAAAATACAGTTATCCAGGCCTTGTGATATATATTTACATTTTGAAACCCAACTCATGATCATTTCGGGTACATATAAGAAGCCAAAACATCTTTAAGTGGGTTTTTACTTGTAACAATTCATCAAAAATTTGAAAATTATTGAGTTTATGGAATTGTGATCAGGAATAGCTTGTGGTAAAAGATTATGATGAAGCAATGCTATACAAAAAAGAATATTGGAAGTAGCGAATACATACCTGTTTGAAAGTCCCACATGAATCAAAACCAGTGTAATAGGTAGATAACTAAGTCAGAGAAGCAGAATCATTCTTGAGATGGTAATATTCTTGGCTAGTCAAGAAATTCCTCACCTAAAAATGTAACCCAGAGTTTCAGTACTGTGTGTCACAAGGACATGGTGTATTGGTATTTGTACTGTGCTCTTGTAGAAATCACCAACAGAGTATTATAAAGATACCAGTAAGACTAGAGTTACCATATCTTAACCAGTGAAGCCCACAGATATTTTCCACTAAGCAATAATATTTATTTAGTTTAGAAGAGCACATCATAATGTGGTATTCATTTTCAAGTGTTCAGTAAAATTCATTTTGAATTAAAACAAATCAGGAGTATTATTACATCAGAATTTCAGGTATCTTATGGTAATCACATTAATATCAAAAGGAAGTGAAATGAGAGCAGTCATAGCCATCAAAAGGAAGTGAAATGACAGCAGTCGTAGCCATCAAAAGAAGTGAAATGAGAGCGGTCGTAGCCATCAAAAGGAAGTGAAATGAGAGCAGTCATAGCCATCAAAAGGAAGTGAAATGGGAGCAGTCATAGCCATCAAAAGGAAGTGAAATGAGAGCAGTCATAGCCATCAAAGGGAAGTGAAATGAGAGCAGTCATAGCCATCAAAAGGGAGTGAAATGAGAGCAGTTGTAGCCATCACTGAAGATACTTGTGAGCCAAGGATTTTAGATGCTTCAATATAAAATTCTCGGTATTGTAGCATAGGAAATTTTGTAACTGCAAGTAAAGCATGCTTGCTTGTACACACCTTTGAATACTGCACTGAATAAGAGATGCACTTGAGTGTCTGGAAGACCATCAGTTTTCTCAGTGTTGTTTCAGTGCATACTTTGAAATAAAAGAACAAGAACATTCTCTAAGTTAACTGTTCCTGTATTGATTATCAACAAAAAATATAGGCTTCAGATGAAAGCAAACATGCCCTTACATTTTCTACTTTTGTTCTTATGGCTAGCCACCATTTACAAGTGTCGACTCTCGACTTTTCTCTTTTGGTTTCAGCTATGTTGCTGGCATTCTCCAGCACTGTCATTCTTGATTCCAGGCCTTGTCAGTCTCTTGATTCAGATTAACTTTGGGTTTTTGTAAATCGGTGCTCGTTTTCACCAGCACAGCCACCATGGGACCCTTGAGACCATATTCTCTCTCTATCTCTTGTTCTCTTGGTTGTCATTATATATTTTTGGCACAGACTGCATGGAAAATGCTGCTTCAAAAATATTTATCGTTACGTGTTTATTTGTTGGCACAGGAATGTGTTTACGAAGCTGTTGCCTAGCAGCGGACGTCTTGTCTGTCTCCCCTATTCCAGCCCTCAGGCGTCATCACAGTGCCCCCTCTATAAGGCTGCTTATCCTGAGCAGCCCCCCCAGATGTACTGCCATTTCCTCTGTCTTGAGGGTGTGTGCCAGCTAGGTCCATGATCACCCTCACGAAGGCTTTGCAACATCAGACTGGTCTCAACACTTCTTCCTCCAGTTTTGATGGCACCCAGTCCTCAATCCTCATGCTGATGTTCTCCAGCTGCTCCGTCCTTAGAGAGCTCATCTTGACACTTCCCTGGTAAGGTACTAGTCAGTCCAGACATGCTACCATCCCTTTCATTCGAGTGTGTCCCTGAATCATGTGCACTGCATTATTGCTTCTGGGGACTACCCTTCATGGGCCTTCCCACATCAGTCGTGACTTCCACTTAGTGCAGTTTGGGTGGTATAGCCACACTTGGTCACCCTCCTTGAAGCACATGGAGTTGACCAGGCAATCTTGTGACTTCTTTTCACTCTGTTAACTGACCTGCTTCAGGTGCTTGTGGATATAATGGTGTACGTCATGTGGCCAATCCATGTAGTCAACAGTTGGTTGCATGTTGGGTGGCCATCTTGAAAAGCAGGTTACAGAGCAGGAAGAGTTCTCTCCCAAATGATAGGTTATAATGTGACTGTTGTGCTGAATTAGAGTGCAGACTTCTTATATGGGACAAAATCTCATCCTCAGTTGGCTCCCGCTCCATAGGTTCACCTTTGGTTTCTCTTTCACCTTTGTTAGATAAGGATGATCTGGTGCAGAACCCTCATCATCACTGATGTACATGCTAGATGTATTTATATCACATGATAGGCTTCTGTCTACTGATTCAAGATCTACTCCTTCCCTAGTCATTAGGTGGTAGTGGCGAACCATAAACTTTGAGCTCTGACTTGACTCATCTATCTTGTTGGTCAGGCCAGTCCGGTAAATTGCTAATGGCTTTCACCAGCATGACCATTCTTGGTTCCAAGTCCTGCAGGACTCATGATGACCATATTTTTTCTGACTCACAAGTCTGGGACTCACTTTTCTCTTAACTTCTCATGTTGGCCCTCATTATATGGCCTTAGCATGGACCATGGGGAAGTGTTTTTTGGGCTGTTGCCTAGTAGTGGATGTCTCATCTGGCTCTCCTATTCCAGTTAGTGTCCTGTTACAGTAGCATTAGCGTTGTAAAAACAACTGACAAATTGTCACACAGCTGAAATAATTTTTCTTGGTTTACGTGTGGCTGTATAGCATTCCACTTACCCACACTGTTAGTACTGGAAGGATAATATTTGAATATAATGTATGCTCAGATTTAGAAAACAGAAATTATAAAGGGAAGAGGTATGCGCTATTCTAATGGTGCATGGTTTATTTTGTTGTGGCTTTGTTTTAAAAATGTGTTCTTGGCATTTTTATTAACGGCCTCATTCACCACCTTGTCTCCATGTGCACATTTATCACTGCTATGTTAATTCACAAAAAAGAACTATTTCCAATTGATTGTGCTTGAATGTTAAAGTGATATATACTCTTAATCACTGAAGATATAGTATACTGAAGCCCAGATGGCATGAAACTGTTAGAAGTTTAAAACTGTTGCAGATGAATTTTCTTTCAGTTCCAGAAAATGTAGCTCTTCACAAAAGCCAATGCTGGAATTTTAAATGTATGATCTCATAACGAAGTCCTCATATGTAAATGTCTTGTATTATGAATATTCCTCCTCACTTTTCCTTTGCTCATGTGATGAAGGCAGAAAATTCCTCCAGAATTTCAGAAATTTCTTTTATAACGCAGTTTTTAACTTTTCTTAATTATAGTAATGTGAGTAGCAGTTAGAGAAGTATGCAATATATAGCACATACAGTACTGATTTTTATTTAGAGTATGTGGTTTGAATTTTATTTCTGTTCCCTGGTTCTACCAACATTCACACAAAATTTAATTCTTTGCAGTCTTTTTTTTTCTCTTCTTTTTTTGCAAACAGTGGGACGAGAATGTTGATAACTATTGCAATGTATTCTGTTTGAAAGGTCCTGAGTTGGGTGCTAAACACCATTTTGAAAAGGTGTATGTAATGTACAGTGTTGTTTTATATAAGGAAGAATTTGTTTTGTTTTTAAGGAAGAATGTCAGATTACTGTGTATGTACTATTATATATATAAAAGAGGTCTATAATTACAGAGGTATAGATAAGAGAACTGTCCAGTCTTTTGAGGATGCAGCTAAGTCGAAGATGAAACTAATCAAGGAAACAACAGATATTTTTAAAATTTGTATTCATCTCCTTTCTTTCAGAAATACTGCTATTATTTCTTGTTGACTAGAAAGTCTCCCTTCTTGGCATCTTCTCTCGTGTACTAAGTGTTCCATAAACAGCATTGAAAATGCGTGGATGTTAAAAAAACAGCGCTGTTACATTAGTGTGTTTCTAATGTAACTTCATTATCTATAAATAGCTCGATAATGTCTTGTATAGTAGGCAAACCTTGGTTTCCAATCTTTGTTGTAAGTAAAGGAGCGTCCATTTACAAAAAAGAATAGAAGGTAATTGTGTTTATATTCTGTAATCAGTGACAATGCTATGTAATATATTCAGCTGTGTTATCAGCTTTGTCTTGACAGGATTCCCAGTGGAATGTTTTGAAGATAAGACGGTCATGATTTCAAGGGAATGTGTAACTGAGAGCATGAGTGGTTGTAATGGTATCCTTTGATGTTATCTGAGGTGGTTTTTATTTATTCTGAAGATAATAGGAAATTTTGAAAGTGTAATGAAACATCTACTTTTATGTTACCTTTGTGTGGTGTGTTGTAAATTTGTATTCAACATACTAGCCCATATTGTGTATGATTGCTGGTCTAGAAATGATTGTAGCAGCTTCATTATGAAGTATAAGAAACCGTTTGTGGTAATAGCAGTCAGGAGGTCTACATCATGACAAAGTAGAATCAAAGCATGTCTCCATTCAGATCAAGGAGCATACTCCGTTATATCGTATTTGAATTTGTGCCCATTGTGATCTGAATCTTCCTCTACTTAAGGCAGTCTAGTTACAATGAAAAATTTCTTTGATCTGATATTTCAACCATTATCTTCTGTATGTAGTCAGCACATTAATGTACAGCTGTGTGTAGCATTGTCACTGATTTTCTTACCTACAGTGATACCCAAAAGAACTCCTAATATCCCAGATTTGAAATCTCTCACTGAATTGTTACAGCCCTGTGTGTGTTATCAAGAATACATCACTGGCAGAAGCTACTTTGACTGGCATCTATATGGGACACTGTAGCAGAAAATATGCAAGGAATATCGTATTGTAAATGCAGGAATTTTGATTTATTCTTTAGATCTGAAGTCTGTTGGACAGATACAAAATGCCATGCCGTGATCCATCTCCGTGAATTAGTTTGTTTTGGCAGAGGAATTTGAGTTAGTCTGTTGATTGTGGAAGAATATGAATGGCAGTGTTATCTGACAGGTTAGGGTAGTTTTTTTTTTAACATTTTAAATGAAAATGAATTAATGTATTTAGGAATTTAAATACGTGCATATGAGATTAAAATTATTTATATGTGTATAAAATAATTATAGCCTGTTGCTTTGTATCATTTCAGAATATGATCCATTGAGCTGAAGGAACAACAGAAATTGTCAGTTTCTTAAACAAAGTGTTAATAAAACATACTTAGAAGCAAGACATGTAAATGGATTTGAAGTGCGGAATATCAGATATTTCAAGCTTTGTAAATTTCTTTTTCAACCTATTGTTAAATCAGAGACATTGTGATAATTCAAACATATGGTTTGGATGAAGGATACAAACACAAAATTTCATGGGGGAAATTGCTTGAAATGTGGCAACGTGGAAGTCTTCCGACAGCTTAGCCCATAGGAAAATTGAAAAGGGATATCCTTTTATAGTCCATAGATCACTTGGTACTGCCATACCTTTATAAAATTTTAAGGTATACCATAGGTTGGCATGTTTTATTAATACGTAAATAATGGAATTATAAATTTAGGAAGATGTAATATTTGGAAATGTTGTGGTTGTAGTAAGCAAATAGTTGCACATATTTTCTAATCTCTTATTATTCTTCCCAGTATTAGGACTAGTTTCCCTGTAATGAGTATTATAAGACCAAATCCCTCATCCTTTTTAGAGTGCATGTTCTGAAATTATTGTCAGTTATGACTGACTGCTTGAACATGTTTCCAATATATGATATAGTACTGCACCGTTCTATCTCCAGGTATGGTTGTGGACAGTCCCCTCTCTGCCCAGCAAAAGTGAATCTTTAATAAGATTTTCATTTTGTCGCAAATGATAGACTTATAAGAATCGGAAGGTGACTATCAGATAGGACTTTGAGCTTAACATGAGGTGTAAACCATATTAGGGGCTTCCAGATGGAATATTTCTCCAGTGAACTTCGTAATTTTGCCATTACTTGTGAAAAATTTGTAATTTTCCTAAATTACATTTCATCTGGTAGTTATTTTGTTTTGTCAGCCATGCACATGGACTGTAGTTCTCTGTCATTTAATAATATTGTAACATTAGTAGTTTGTATATTCTTGGATATTGCATTGAAATATTAAATACCCTCTGTTATACAGGGACACTATGATACAAGCTGGAAGGTTGTGGGTTCGAGTCCCAATAAGGTGGACTCTTTCAATTAACCTAATCCTTCTGGCCGGACTATGGCTGACTCAGCCTCTTAACAGAAATGAGTACCAGGAATCATTCTGGGGCGAAAGGGTGGCTGGCATGTAAGGCTGACAACATGACCATCATCTGTGAGCAGATTCTCTAGAAAATGTGGGAGCCTCAATGTCTCACAATCCTACGGGCCTTCTCGGCCTGTTACAGGGATAGGTTTACCTTTTTTTTTTACCTTTACCTCTGTTATACATTTTACTTGTATATCCAAATGGAATGCACACATTCTTATTAAAAATACTCCCATCAGAAACAAAAATTATTTAAATATGCAGTTGTAGTTTTTTAATATAGTTTGATGAAGCATCAAGGCCAGCAGCAAATAATGTTACAGTCAACATTGACCACACTTTTGGTTATAAGAGACGCGTGGTTAAATAGAGTCTGTAAATTGACGTAAACTGTAAAATCAACAAGACATGTCATGTTCAGTGCTGTATGACACACACTGTAAGTATGCTAGCTGAATCCATAATATTTTCATAATTTGAAATGTCTTCAAAGCTCTGTTTCCAATATGGTTGATGGTTGGAAATCAATGGTGCCGGCCACTTTACCTCGGGAAAGCCCACGGTACCCATTGGGTAGGAGGCTGGGTGGGCCCCAAAGCCAGTCTGGATGTTGCGGAGAAGAGACAATACTTGACCCTACTGGGACTCTTTAACTCCGACCCCTCAGCCTGTAGCTAGTCGCTATAGCTGGCACAATTTTGCGCTTTGTCGCTTTCATACTCAGGCATTCTATCTAGCGGGTCTAGAAATTCTGAATCGTTGTGGTACCAAAACTTCGTTCCAGATTCCCAAATTTCTTTCATTCAATCATACCTTGGGCCTGTGCATACTTTTACACCTGTTTCCCTGATGTCAGTATTTATGTTAATGTTCATTTTGTATTCTGTGGCAGTGTGTTTGTTGGAGACGAGCTGGTAAAGTACTATTCCAACATTTGCTGGAGGGACAGGAATGGCAGTAAACCCTCAGGTTTGACGATTTCGAGCCTGGGACCTCTTGCTCAAATGATTCTCAACATTCACGTGGGCATATTGCGTGGCTGAAGAAGGAAGGTTTAGGAAACCATGTTGACAGAGGAATTTGTGGCTCAAATATGGCTGTAGCCAAGAACAAAGAAGTTCTGTAAAAGCGAGGAATAATACAATGATAATGTTAGGTATTATTTTAGCTTATTTTGCTTATATTAAAAATAAAAGTGGACTTGGGATTACCTTGCTGTCTCTATGTCCCCCACCCCCAACAAGAGGGAATAGTGGAGCCAGAAGAGGCCGTTACTAGACACTGGTTCGTTAAATTCCCATGGCAACGAATACACAGGCAATCTCTTTTCAAACACCCTGTAGTGAACAGATTTGGCGCTTAGTTCTTCCCAGAACTAATTGTAATACGGTGACAAGTTTGTTTGAAAGTTGTCGTTTTTTTCGTTATGCGAGAACAGTGAGCAAGGTCGCAAGCTGAAAGCTAGACTCTGCGTATATTTGCCTACTGCACGGGGAAGTCCTTGTTTGTGCGCCTGATGTCACCTCTGTTACAGCGCGGAGGTTACTGATAGGGCCATAACGTGGAGACAAGCCTCTTAGCGCGTGCGACTGTCAATCACAAGTTACCAGAACACCATCAGTTGGCGCCTCTCTTTCGCCTCCCGTTCTCAGAATTCTACTCCAGTGCCACATTGCCACCCAAAATCTCACATGGACCGAACGTCACTTGTGTGGGCCGAATCCAATGTTTTTACTGTAGATAGGTATTTTGTCAATCTGTAACGTCCTGAACAAATTTGTTTCTTCCCTCTTTCGTTTTTGAAAGAAAACAAGACTATGAGATTACAATTATGACCGTGATTGCGCGTCCACCTTTTCAAGTTTTAAAAGAGCTGACCGATTTTCATGAAATCTGGTATCAACAATATGCCATTAACGTCACCCAAATGTCTCTTGGGACGACACGTTCCCCAAACAAAACATGCCTATATTTCGTCGTGTTGTTACCGTTGTCTATCCGCTAAAGTCGGTATAGTTCCCTTGCGGACTAAAGCCACGGAGTTTGTTACCGTTATAAAACAACATAAATGCAGCTGTTCTAAGAATTACGACCCGAGTTACGGTTTTAGTGTCAAAAAATTTCGTGGTACGACGGGAAGTTTTGAGAACGCTGACCTGTTTATACCTTGGAGGGGTGGGGATCGAATTGGGCGGAATTTAGGTTTCACTAGTCCTGATGCGACGTTGCGAAACTTGGATAAATTATATCGGACAAATGTGACGTACTAAGTGACCAAAAAGTATGCTCATGCACACACACAAATGAATACAACGTTTCGGATTTAAGGATGGGGCGACTGGGGCCTACAGAAAGCAGAAATAGAATCCACAGATTATATTGACAATTGTTTCTCTAAAATCACGAAAATTTAGTTTGTATTTTTTAATTATCATATGAAATAATATAAAACGAAAGCTCTGTCATAACCTAAACTTACTGATTGCCTACGCCCCCCCCCCCAAACTGTAAATCCTGTTCGGAGTAATAGGTCTTTAAGACTATAGACATCTATAATATATTATGGTAGCCTAATTTGCGAAATGAAACGTCTTCGTCTCAATTTCAGCGTTTTCGGATTATGTTCCGTTTCTCTGTTAAAAATGTTAGTTTTGTAATGTTAGGAAATTGTTTACAGGTACAGCCAGAGCGCGTCAAATTTTTTAAATAGATTTTTCAGGAAAGATATTTCAGCACAAAGCTCAAACTGTGTTCGTTGATCTTTCAGTTCCTCTTCAGTGCGTGTTGATTTTTTTTTAATTCGCTTAGTGGCTCCACTCGGCACGGCGGCCACTGATTGGCCTATTTTAGCCTGCCCCGGGTGATTATGATGATGGAGAATTTGGTGGAATGAAGATTGGCAGGGGGAACCGAAGTACTCTGATAAAACCCGCCCCAGCTCCACTTTGTCTACCACAAATCCCACTTGACCAGACCCGGAATCGAACCGGGGCCGCCGTGGTGGGAAGCCAGAGACTATCCGCTTGAGCTATGGCGCAGCCTTTCAGCGCGTGTTAATCTTATGAATAAATGAATTGATGTAATAGAGTATAAATTAATTATAACAGTCACTGCCAAGTTATGTAATGTGTTGGACAGTGTTCTACGTCGTACTTCCATTCCTAATAAAGTTGAAATTGTCTGTGTTTAAATGAAATGTATAGTAAAGTCCGTGTAGGTAAATGTTTGTCCGGCACATTTCGTATTCAGAATGGTCTACAAGGAGATCTTTAGTGCCACAGCTTTTTAGCTTTGTTGTGACCGCATCTGTGGTTTAGTGACCAGAGTTCCTGCCTACAGATCCAGAGGTCCCGTGTTCGATTCCAGGTGCTACCATTTTATGAGAAGTAATGGGTCTGTAACGGGCTACACTCAGCCTCGTGAGGATAATTGAGGAGCTATTTCAAGAAAATAGCGGCTCCAGTATATAAAACCGAAATTAACGGCCGTGGAGATCCGTTGCGCTGACCACGCGACATCCTCTATCCGCTAAAGTTGGCACTAACTTCGTCGACAAGCGGCGGTCGCTCGGTCGGTATAGTTCGCTTGCGGACTACAGGCAACGGAATTTACAGTACTTCAGTAGGAAGATCCAAGAAAACCAGATGGGACTTGTAGACTCTGGCCTGTGCTGATAATGTAAATTTATTGAGAGATATCAGAAATACAACAAAGAAATTATAATTGACGCTCTTGAGAAGGTTGGTCTAGAAGTACGCGATAACGTCACGATAGTGGCTTGTTGCCATTCGATTCAGATTCTTCTGCCTTCACGTCTGCTGTCTAAAATATGTAAAGATTACAAGAATTTCTGGGAAGATCTAATCGTCTGCTTTCCTCTGAAGTGACACGCATCGAACTGAAAAAGACGCGCCCAAAAATCCTATTATTGCTTGTGTATTCGTTGCAGTGGGAATGTGTTTACCGAGTCGTTGCCTAGCAACGATAGGGGAGTGGTTACACGTACACAGAGCAAGGTGATCTCATAAGCCTACTTTTTTCTTTTAAATAGGGAAATTAGGATAAAACATTTGGATTTGCATACACAGTAGTAAAAATGCCGTTGCCTTGCAATGACAACGTGTTTACCGCTGTTGCCTAGCAATGACCGTGTATCCTGTCTTTTGGGTGTTGCATGTATCATTTGTCCACCTCGGATGTAATTAGGCAGATGTTCAAAACAGACATATCCGGTCTCCGTCAGAGAGGGGGGGGGGAGAGTGTCTGTTACTGTAGGTCACATTTTGTGTGTCTTCTTAAATATAATGAACGAAATAAATTGTTTCTTCGGCCATAACTAGCTCGATTTGCCATTACAATTCTCTTTTTATTGAATAGTAATGTTATATTCTGTTAGAGTAGATCAGAGATTCTTTAATTCTTTCGCCCATTCAAATTGCTGATTACCAACTGCAAGCGTTTTAGTTTTTCAGATTGATTGTAAAGTCCCACTTACTTCACAGTTTTGTTGATGTTTATATTGCTTCTTTCTACACATATGTAGTTCTTCCCACTGAAAAGGTGTCATCTGCATATGCAAGTAACTGGATTATTTTATATTTATATAGTTCTGTCCCCGAATTTCTGAGCGGCTCTTCTTTTAAGGTTGCGTTAAATAAAACACGGGCTCAGGATGGACACCAGTGGCGGGCTCTGTAATGAGCCTTCGGGTTCCATAGATTAATGGGAAATTCTTGAGCAGCTGGGCTGTTGGTAGCATCTCAAGGAAGATTCGGCTCCATGGATTTAATTATGGCTACAATCCGTACCGATAGTGATGTTTGTTTTGGTTATTCCATTAAATTGCGTCGCGTCAGAGAATGCATATATGTACCTTCAGTGTGGAAGTGCGAATGTGGTTTGTAAATATTTGTATCCTGTACGATGCTGATACAAGGCACAACGCCAGGTTATTAAACCGTTTCGGAAACTTCAACAAGTCTCTTGTTACGACGACTGTAAGAAGCGTAATTTCTGTGTGGCTTTCAATTATTTTCACATGAAATCTACTTCAGGACACGAAACTGATATTGTTAAGAATATTAAAAGAGATTAATGAAGCATAAACGTAGTAGCATCTTACTCATGAGTCTCTTTCACGCCGTGTCATTCTTCACGTAGACCTCCGAACACCGGGCCGGACGGAAACTGAAAAAGGAGGGGGAAGAGTATGCTGCGGTGTGGTGGCTGTATGAGAATGGTGAGCAGACGGCATTTTGAATGAAAACGTCAGGAAGAACAGACGTGTCGAGCCACTGCGACTTGCCGGTGAGTACAGTTTTATTACAGTTATCATCAAAAGCATCCAGCACGATAGTATTATCTATACATCTAAATTCTTCCCAAGTCGACAGGCTAATCTAATCGCTTAAGGACTTCTTTTTAAAGCTGGTTTCTGTACAGAATGCAACCTTACGTACCATAACACGTATGTTTTGTGCTCCGCTTATCAACGCCTGCACGACAATTGGGTTACGTTAAAGTGGAAGTAGTTATCAGCTATCAACAATTGAGGTTCCTGAAAATTTATACGATAATAGGTTATGTATCCAAGAACCAAATTTCGTCTAAAGGGAAAAAGACAAACATGGTGACATGCGAAATACTTAAGGATTTTTATGGCTACTACTGTTTAAGCATTGTATCTAATCACGTGACATTTGAAATCAGTGTCGCGGTATACCGGCCGGGCTCTTTCATATTCTGTAGCTCTGGAGTCCGGAGATCGGCTATTCATTGTTCTTGTCAGTCCCTTCAGTGAGATTATTGCGATAATAACTCGAAATTCACAGTGACAATTTCCTTCCATATCTGTCCAAGTCCATTGTTTTATCAATTTGACGATATAAAACTTTCAGTTAACATGACGTCTTTAAGCAGACCAAGCAACAGGCGTGGCATTTGGTGTTATGGAAGACCATAAAAGCACCTACAAGTTTTCGCATAAAAACTGTGTGTGTATGTGTGTGTGTTGAAACGCCAGAATATAGCAACGACTTTAACGAAGGTCGATCCGCGCGCTGTGGTAGTTCTTAAGTGTTGTTGTTCATGCATAAAAATACTAAGAATTATGTAGAATGTGACCTCATTGAAATGATGTTTATTTCTATATGTAAAATGAATATCTGCACAGTCTGTTTCATATTGTTTCATTTTCAGTCATAAGCGAAACGTAATAGTGAGTAACTTAAAAATTCTTGTCTAATCCTCTACAATCCGTAAACTTAATATTCGTTCAGATATTTCTTAATCGTTAAAATTCTCTGACTGCAAAAGCCTATATGCAGGAATGAAAATATCTTGTCAGAATCAGTCAGACGCTCGAGACCCATGGAAGAAGCCGGGGAATGTTCATAGCGCAGGTTCAGGAATTTTTGTTAATGTATCTTTGTTGGGAATTACAGGCATCTTAATATAACGTAATAAGTTTAATTTGAAAAGAACATAGATTTGTAAGATTTGAGGTTTTCACGGCGGTTACTATGAAGAAAGCAGTCTTCTGGGATGTGGCACCGTGTAGATATTGTGTTAACAGACGTTTCGGAGGAACGTATCGTCTCCATCTTCAGAGTTTGTTAGCACCTACTCACGCTGGTTCCTCGCTCTCAGATTTTCTTGTACCCTGCCTCTGGAGAATTCACGTGGATTGCTATCTCTGCACTGGGTTCGAGGCCAGTAACAGGGAAAACATTAATTTGTAACGTTTATTGCATCCGAGTCCTGTTTACACATTTTCCAAACGCGTTCTTTGCGAATTCGCATGCTCATGAATCTTATTAGCAAGTTTGCTGACAGGAATGCTGTAAATTGTGGGCGCAGAGCAATAATTTACTTTCTTTGTATTTCGTTGTTACTCATGGCACCATTTTTGTAAATATAAATGTTGTAGAACTTAGTCTATATTTTTTCCATGTGACAATTTATACGACAAATAGTGCCTGAGAAATTTAGCATCATTGTCTCTATGTACCGAAATAAAATTCGCTTTAAAAACTATAGCCTCTCTCCTCTACTGGTCAGGGTGTCTGGCTACAGATCCAGAGGTTCCGGGTTCGATTCCTGGCGCTACCAGATTTTCTGAGATTTAATGAGTCTGGAACGGGGTCCACTCAGCTTCATGAGGAGCTATTTGAAGGAAATAGCGGCTACGGTCTAGGAAAACCGAGGTTAACGACCGTGGGGATCCGTTACGCCGACCGCGTGACATCCTCTATCCGCTAAAGTAGGCACTAACTTCGCCGACAAGCGGCGGTCGCTCGGTCGGTATAGTTCGCTTGCGGACTACAGGCCACGGATTTTGTTTTGTATTATAAACTATAGTTTCCACTTCTAACACACCATTTATCAAATATGCAGTTACATCGGAGATAAATACAACAACGAAGCTTAATAATATATTTAAGAGCTGGAATAGCGCAGTCGGTATAACGACTGGCTATGGGCTGGACGACTGAGGGGTCGGAGTTCGAATTCCTGTAGGGTCAGGATTTTTCTCTTCTCCAAATCGTTCAGACAGGCTCTGTGATCCACCCAGCCTCCTATCCAATGGGTACCCGGGGGTAAAGAGGCCTGGGCGTGAAGCTGACCGGTCACCTCCAGCCAGTGCCGAAGTCAAGAAAATGTGGATTTTTCCATCCATTCCCCCACACGCCTTTATGGCGTAGTGCTTAATTCATTGAGCACAGGGACAACTTTACCTTTACGGCAAAAAAAGAAAGCAAATAAATAAATAAATAAATCTTTGTGAAGGCACCAGACAGTTGATTCTTGTGCAGCCAGTTTAAGACATAATAATTGATTTGTCCTTTGCTTGTTTGACGAAGCTGCATTAACCGCAAGGTTATTCAGCCCGTACCTAACACTGAGTGATACAGGAGGATGATTATGTATAGTGATTTGGGGGGGGGGGGGTTGAGATAGCGGCCGTNGCCGTGACATATTTAAATACACTTCCCTCTTAAAAGTGCGAAGTGCATAGTTTAAAATGACCCACATTCTCCATCTGAGTTTCTGATTTAGCATTTCCGGGACATAAGTCAGGGGCCCTTACCTAAAATTCCAGGCACCATACGTAAGGGGAAGTTTTACTTACCAGCAGCTTTAGCCTCTGGTCGTATTTATCGCCCTCCCTCCGAAACACAGTAACGCGAAGAAGAAGAAGAAGAACAAATATTCTATATATTGTGTATTTCGAAATTCAGATTGAAGGTTTGCAGAAAATTTTGCAAATGCTTGAGCATATTGTACGAAATCGTTTGACGTGTATGGGATCCAGTGAATTCGACAGGTCAGAACATTCTCTATGTTATCCCACCGTATAGTCTTGTAGATAAATAGAGGGTTAATGTGTTCTTCCTTCACTTTGGTACCCACATGTCAGATTACGCGGTGTCGTAAACCAGAAAACAGTAATGTCAATCCTTACTGTAAAAACTTAAGCATTTCTGTATAGATAATACGGCGGCACGCGGTGACGTAGTTAGTTGAACTACGCTACAAGCCGGAAGTTCGCGGATTCGATTCCCGATGAGGTCATTGGATTTTTCAATTGATCTGATCCTTCCAGCCGCATTATGACCCTGGGATCGACTCAGCCTCTAACAGAAATGAGTACCAGGAATATTCTTGGGAGTAAAGCGCGGCCTACACGTAGGGCTGACAAATTCATCGCCATCTGTGAGCCGAGTGTCTAGAAAATGTGGGAGCCTCGACGTCTCACAACCCTAAGAGCTTTCACGGCATGTTGCAAGGATAGCTTTTCCTTTAACGTTTATATTACAGATAGATTTACGACTGAAGGACGTAAATCGAACACGCGCTTTGAAAATAACGCGACACATCCTGAAGATGGGGGTCATAATTTACTACGAAACGTTAATACTATCAAATTACAGTGTGTCATCCCAGAAGACCACATTTTTCGTGTAAGTTTATTTCAAGCAGTGCCACTTTCCATGTGGGTTAGGAAATGTACATAGTTGCGTTCTGTTTTTCAGCGTAAAAGATAAAGTTGCTCCTGTGCTTAAATAATTAAGAGCCGCGCCATGAAGACGTATCGGGAATTGGGGGTATAGCTCCACCATTCTTGCTACTTCGTCAATAGGTGGTGGTGAGTGGTCAGCTTCACGTCCTGGACGCTTTACCCTCAAGGAAAGAGCCCCTGGTACATACTGGATTTTGTCGTATATATTTATATGTATATAACACTAAGCCGAATCAGTAAGGGTTGTCATAAAACGAAGGGCAGAGGGTTGTATTCGAGGCAGGACGCCTTGAAGCGGCGCCTCAATGCTCTTATTTTGGGTGACCGGGATCTAACCTAACATTCCTCAAGACCGCGCCATAGCTCAAAAGCCATAGCTGACTTCCCACCGCGGCGGCCCGGGTTCGATCCCGGGTGGGATTTGTGGTGGACAAAGTGTCGTTGGGGCGGGTTTTCTCCGTGTACTTCGGTTTTCCCTGTCAATTTTCATTCCACCAAATTCTCCATCATCATAATCACCTGGGGCAGGCTATAATAGGCCAATCAGTGGCCGCCGTGCCGAGTGGACCCAGTTGGACTCCACCCCCTACTAAAGGAAAACATTCCTCAAAAACTGTAATGTCAGGCATGGGCAAGGGTGAATAAAGTTTATTAAAAATTCTGTTCTTTCTGCTGTTTTATTTCAATAATTGAATATTATCTTCATGAAAATTTTTGATAGAATAGTTTAAAGCTTTTTATTAAAGGTATTACATGTAATGAAAATATTACAGTTATACAATTATTGAGTTTTTGTATGTAGTCCATCATGTTGTTTCTTTATTTTAAAATAACGTTTCGGAGACCGAATTCTGTTTCCAAAATCTACTGAGATGTGCCCAGTGATGTCAGAACCAAGGCAAGAGAGGATACATAAATTACATGTTGTAAATTATAAATTATAATTTATAGCATGTTTAATTTTCTACCTCTCTCTGTTTCAGGCAGAAACGTCCGTCTGTTTACATGTGTGATTATCATGACCTGCATTTAAAAGCGCAGAGCAGTCATTACACGAAGGATCAGAACGATCCTGTATAATTTATGTCCATTTCTTTCAATATAGCTCTGTGTTCCAGTTCTAGTATAATAATTCTGAAACATGTTGCTGGGAAACAGGAAGTTTACTGTATTTTTAGAGTACAACAAGAACAAACTCCGTCCACAAGCGAACTATACCGACAGAGCGACCGCCGCTTGTCGGCGAAGTTAGTGCCAACTTTAGTGGTTAGAGGGTGTCGCGTGATCAGCACAACGGTTCCCCACGGCCGTTAATCTCGGTTTTCTAGACCGGAGCCGCTATTTCCTTGAAACAGCTCCTCAATTATCCTCACGAGGCTGAGTGGAACTGGTTACAGACCCACTACTTCTCAGAAAATCTGGTAGCGCCGGGAATCAACCCGTAACTTCTGGATATGTAGCCAGGAACACTGACCACTAGACCACAGAGGCGGTCCTTGATCACAACAGCGCATCACATATTTACAGCGGCTACCCACAACAAACTCCCGAATTTGTGAAGAAAATATACCCCATACCTATGTATAGTATAGAGGTATTTGTTATATGCCTTAATAATATATGTACTGTGCTTTTAAGCCTGTCACTTCTCGTTAGGATGTGCAGCGAACTTCGTCGGAATCACTAACTGAAGTAAGGACTGAAGGGTGTGAATGGCTCATGACAGGTCCTTCGTCACAGTGTGATTGCAGCTGCAACCACTGCTCCTCTTCTTCATATCCTTCTTCCCACTTCTTACCCGAAACCCAGAGGGAATGTCTCAAAGCATGACCTGTAAGAACGTTTAATGATTCCATGTCATTATTGTAGTTTCATTGTTGGCACTACATCCCCAGTGGGCCTAGGCCTACCTCCATGAAATTCTCCGTTCATTTTACGTAAAGGATTTTAAAATAATTTAAATAACCGGTCCTGCGGTTTACGAAATTAGTTACAAGAAGTTTTACAGAACCGGTGCGACCCTGTTGGATGAGACATTGTGCGTAAGCTCTAGCGGACTCTACAGTGCGACCGCGATTTAATGATCCCTTGTCCTGTCTGAGTGTGACGTAACAACACTTAACTCGGGCGGAAGAAGATAGCAATCGACAGCAATGCTGTCAGATGATCATTCCTACTCCAAAGTCATATCCTGTAACCCATCATTGAGCGTTGCTGTAGCTACACGCCTAGCCAATTCAAGGCTAACAGCGCTGACTTCAGTGTTGGCTAATGCTGTTTCGAGGCGGCCAGGGTTGAATGCCGATACGAAGGACCATTAAATCGCGTTCGAATTGTAGTGTTGTACGTAATTGCGCTGTTTTATTGAGGGAGTTTCGAGTTTCACGGAGTTTCTGAGACTTGTCGGCTAGAATCACCTTGACAGACATATCTGAGTTAGTTGGGTTTTAACGTGTTATCTGGTTACTGCGTATAATGCGGAAAAGAATCACGACTTTGAAGTTTACACTCATGTTAAGTGAAACACTTAAAAACGTCACCACTTGTCCTTGAATTAATGCATCCATACACATTACCATATATGATTAGCTTTTGCCTCCTGTTGTACTGAAAATCTTACTGTTCATCAACCATCCACAGAAGTTTCATAAACAAAGGTAAGGTAAAGTGGGTAAAGTTGACCCTGCACTTAATTAATTAAGCCCCACGTAGTGAAGACGAATGGGGAAGTGGAGGTATAGCTCCACCATTCTTGACTTCGGCACTAGTTGCAGTTGAGTGATCAGCTTCACGCCCCAGCCGCTTTTCGCCTGTTGGAAGAGCACAACTGCTCATTTGATAGGCTGATTAGTTGGATCTGTACTCTGTACTATAGGCAGTTTGGACATTATGGCTAAGACAAGAATCTCTGCCCGTGTCGCGAATAGAGCCATAATCGTCCAGACCACAGTCTAAACGCTGTAGTGACGATAATTACGCAGTCTTTCATGTGTAAAATAACCAGTTTTTGTCCTGGTATGTAGCCGGAGAGGTATGACATCATGTGACTACGTGACGTAAGTCATGACGTCCTGATCGGTCCTGATGTTTGTTTTGCCTCGTGTAGCAGCACAGTCGTACGGAGCGGTCCACAGACAGACATGGCGGAGAAAAGGTGCTGGGATCAAAGCCAGTTAAGGAAGTATGACATTCCCCTAGATGAAATACCAAGATTGAGTGTAAGGGATCCCAGAGTTGATGAGTTTATTGCAGAAAATGTAAGTATACTTATAAAACAGGCTGTTATATAATGTCATTTTGGGTTGCAGTGTTCACAACTTGCCGGATACAGCACTATGATGATGTATATAGTTATCAGTTCATTTAGTTTGGTTATGTTAGTCGCATCCGAATTAAAGGGCAATTTATATTACCAGATATGTTAATCTTAAAACAATTTTTATTAAATAGAATTAGGTTCGTGTTTATGCATAATAATATCGCCAAATTACTAGATGGTAATGTTTTAATTGTACAAATTTGTTGGTATTTATTTTGTTAAGTGCTTTGCTTTGAACGTCATAGAAACCAGTAGTAATAACGGATACCAAACTCGTGGCGTCAGCAGAGAGATGGGACCTGGATTATTTGGAACAGAATATGGGAAATGGAGACTTCTCAGTCTTCCTGTCACGGAATCATAAGTTTAAATATTTTGATGACAAGAAAATTGCACATGCATCAGGAGATTCCAGACTGGATTTCACACCACCAACAAGAAGGGTTGATATGAAGCTACCTGATTTCACACGCAGACTTAGGCAGTGGAGGAGGGGAGATGAGAGGTAAGTGACATCTCAGCTGGGATCTAAAATGTCCTGACTGAGTTTTCTTTTGTGGGTTTCCTCAGTTCCTGCAAGGAGATGCTGGTGTAGTTAAGCCATTATTGTGTCCTGCCACATCCTCTAAAATTCATTATTTATTAATCATTATATCAATTGGCACTATAAAGTGCGATCTACTGACTGTTGTTAAATGAATATTAAGCTGCACACTTTCAAAGGTGCTATGAGAGTGTATGGAGGCAAAGTAGAAAAACACTTGTCTGAAGACTTTTATATAGAAAGGAGATATACCGTGCCAAATAAATGGCCATCTTCTACAATTAAACTGTTCCCAGGTGTAAAATATGTTTATATGAAGGTTACCAGTAGGTAAAGACAAGGTAAAACTATGCCTATAACAGGCCATGGAGGCTCATGGGGTTGTGAAACATCGAGGCTCCCACATATTCTAGATAATCAGTCCATAGATGGCGGTGAGGTTGTCAACCTTATGCGCTGGCCGCCCTTTGCCCTCAGGAAGATTCTTGGTACTCATTTCTGTTAGAGGCTGAGTCGACCCCAGGGTCACAGTGTGGCGGGAAGGATTAGGTCAATTGAAAAATCACAGTGATGGAATCGAACCTGCGATTTTCCAGCTTGTAGCATAGTGCCTCAACCAGCTATGCTACCACATGCCCCCCATTTTTCCCAACAGATGAATGAAATTGAAAATCCTTTGTTTTGTACACGAGCCAGGATAACGGAGTCAGTGAATTGACTGGGATTCAGTTTCTGGTATGTGCAAGGATTGTTTCATTTATGCCCACACACAGACTCGTTCTAGGACACACTGTGCAACAGCTCCCCTCTCCATCATCTCTTGTGCTGATTTTGAGAATATATGGAGGTTTTCCTCCACACCTTGTTTGCCATCTTGGTGGTTTCTAGTCATAGGGACAGCATCTTCATCTTTTGTTCATTCATTCATTCATTCATTCATGTTTATTCATCCTATAGATCAGATTACATTGATGTTACATTGATGTAGGACATGTCACATGATATAAATTATAAAATTAGCAAAAATACAATAAATTCTTAACCAATAAACTAACAAAATATGTAATGATTGTTTACATCTGGCATGTATCTTTATCCAGTGTTTAAGAATTTATCATTCATATAGTCTTCAGTTGAGTAGTTACACCCATTAATGAGTAAATTCTTCAGTTTCCTTATAAACTGGTTTTTATTTTCAAGTTGTTTTGTATTATTATAAAAGATACAACCAGCAACTGAAGGTTTACTGTTATAAAGTTCTAAGTTATGCTCCCATTTATGGTAGTCATTGTTGTTTCTTGTATTGTATGTGTGTACTTGTTTATTTACCCTGCAGTTACACTTATTAGTTACATATAAGATGGTTTGTTTTATGTACAACGAATATAATGTTAAAATCTTAAGTTGTTTAAAACTATCTCTGCTCGATTCTAAAGGTTTTAGCCCCGCAGTGTACCGTACTGCTCTTTTTTGAAGAATAAAAATTCTTTTAGTAAGTGCCTTAGCGCTGTGTCCCCATACTACAATTCCATATGTTGAAAAGGGATAGATCAAACCATAATATAACATCCTTCTACCCTTTAGGTCCAGTATTTTAGCAAGTCTATTTGTTATAAATAAGTTGCTGCTAATTCGACTGCAGGTTCTATCAATATAAACATCCCAGCTCAAGGTGCTGTCAATTACTACCCCCAAAAAGTTTATACTTTTAACATTCTCTATTCCATATTCTTGATTAAAATTGATTTGTGTACTAGTTCTTCATCTGTTTGAATAATGAGCAGATTTACTTTGAAACTCAGTAGTACTACTATGATGATGGAATTGTCAGAAACTTAGTAATATTATTTCTGTTTAAATAGAATGTACCTGCAGCAGGCACTGAACAACACTGTGGGACCAGCTATTGTTCAAGATTTTTTGAACTTCCGATGGGACTGGATTAATTCAAAACAAAGGACACACTCATGGGGTCCTCTCACATCAAACTTACTTCTGATTGCAATGGAAGGTGTGTAAAAGTGAACGTTGATCACTAGAGTTGAAGTTTTTTGATGATGGAGTTATTTCTGCTCATGTAGAGGAATACTAGTTTGCTTGGTTATTACACGTGGGAGAGGTTTTTGAAAATTTTTCTTGTGTTCATTTGGTCAGGCATTGGAAAACTAGTAAATCTCTGTCAAATATTTCAGTTTACCAGAAAGAAAGTGAATAATTTGCTTTGAAACAAATGCACATCTAATGTCATGTTTTCAGCTACTAGTTTCTTGGGAGATCAAACCAGGTAATTTGAGGCTTTGATGCATTTGAAGTACTCTTTTTGAAGAACTGTCAAAATTTAAACTCTTCCCACCCAAACATATATGCTTCCTTGGAGCAAGGAATAAAATCACCCATTTACCTTTTCATACACCCAAAATGCACCCAGTGCTTTAAGAACTGTATAAGAATGTGGTCAGACTTTTCAAATTATTACTTTAATTTTGATATTTAATGACTTTTGTGATCCATTTTTATGGCCTTGTTCATATTCTGATTGAATTTAAGCCATTTTCCACCTATAGTGTAAAACACCTGTTGCAATTCATGTGCAAGGGAACTACAGTTAGATTTCAAATGTAGAATGGTTGTTTTGAAAACAGTTAACAAGAACTGCATCTGATTAGATAGCTTCAGATATAAACTGCAGTGGAACCCTCTTCAAGAAGTTCTGCAGGCGATTAGGCAGTTCAGACTTTCTATTTGGGTGAATAAAAAAGAGACATTCCAAATTTTATGTACATGGCTGTAGCTAAACAGAATAAAAATTAGTCTAAAATCATTATAAATACCTGTACATGTTTATTACAAGGAGAATATTAAATTAAAATGTGTTTTGTGCATGTGTGTGACAGAGAGATATTATTGGCCAGTATTTTTAACTGCTGAACCATTTACGCTTAACTGATCAGTAAGCCAATTAAACAACTATGGATCAGTTATCAGAAATGTACTTTATGGTACTTGTTTCTCGAATCTAGGGAATGTGACACCCTGTCACTACGACGAGCAACAGAACTTCTTTGCGGAAGTACGAGGCTACAAGCGGTGCATCCTTTTCCCTCCAGAGCAGTTTGAATGTTTATATCCACATCCTGTGTACCACCCACATGATCGACAGAGTCAGGTCAGGATATGTATCTTTTTTGCGGTAATTAATAACAAGTGCTTAGAAGAACTGTTCCTCAAATACAACAAATACAAGTAACAACTTAATGAGGAACTCCATAATCTGTACTCAGTACCCAGTATTTTAGGAGTTAATTAAGAAAGGTGGGCCAAGCAAGATTTGTTGAAAGAAGAAAAAATGTATATACAAATGTATAGTCTAAGTATTACAACATTATTTACGTATTTGAACGAAACGTAAAGTCTGTATAAGTAAACATTTTTCTGATAATTTTCATGTCTAGAATGGTCTAAAACAAGGAGATGCTTTATTGCCACTCCTTTTAAACTTTACTTTAGAATATGCCATTAGGAAGGTCCAGGAAAACCAGGTGGGACTGAAATTAAATGGGACACATCAGCTGTTGGTCTATGCTGATGATGTGACTCTGCTGGGAGATAACATAGATACCATAAAGAAAAAGACAGACACTTTAATTGACACTGGTAAAGAGGTTGGTCTAGATGTAAACACAGAGAAAACTAAGTATATGTTGCTGTCTCGTCACCAAAATGCAGGGCAAAATCATGACATAAAGATAGTTAACACATGTTTTGCAAATGTGGCACAGTTCAGATATCTGGGAACAACTAGAACGGATCAAAACCTGATTCAGGAGGAAATTAGGAAGAAATTGAATTCGGCTGATGCTTGCTAGTATTCGGTATATAACCTTTTGTCTTCTCGTCTGCTGTCTCAAAACATAAAAATTAGAATATGCAGAACAATAATTTTGCCTTTGGTTCTGTATGGGTGGGAAACTTGGTCTTGGACATTAAGGGAGGAACACAGACAGAGGGTGTTTGAGAACAGGATGTTGAGAAGAATATTTGGACTGAAGAGGGATGAAGTGACAGGAGGTTGGAAAAAACTGCATAATGAAGATCTTCATAACTTGTACTCTTCTCCAAGTTAATTAGAATGACCAAGCCTAGGAGGATGAATGGGCAGGGCATGCAGCACGAATGGGGGAGAAGAGGAATGCATATAGAATATTGGTGGGAAAGCCAGAAGGAAAGAGACCGATGGGAAGACCAAGGCATAGGTGGGTGGACAATATTAAAATGGATCTTAGAGAGACAGGATGGGATGGTATGGATTGGATTGATCTGGCTCAGGATAGGGACCAGTGGAGGGCTCTTGTGAACATGTAATGAACCTTTTGGTTCTATAAAATGCTGGGAAGTTTTTGAGTGGCTGTAGAATTGGCAGCTTCTCAAGAAGGGCTAAGCTCCATAAATGAGTGTACATATTTGAATTGGGAAAGTGATCTCAGAATTTGAAAGTTATAAATATGAAAACTTTTTGATATGGTGCATATGTAACTTGGATACTGTTATATGGTATAGAATGTTTGAAATTTATCGTCTGTTTTTGCCAAGATAGTCGAATGTTTTGTCTGTTTCTCCAGGTCACACTTTTTTATTGACTACTCATGCATTTGACTCAAAGTCTAATGATGATGTCATTTGGTTATAGGTTGTAGTGGGTACGATTCACTGTTTTCATACCATCATAATAGTATATTAACTTACTTTCTTTGTGTCTACGACACTTTCAAGTAAAGGATTTCAGTAATGTCAAAGAAAATAATTGTGCCTCACTGGATGGTCACCAGGTGGATTTTGAGAGACCTGATTACGCAAGATTTCCCAAGTTCAGAGAAGCACGAGGACAGGAGGCGATTGTGGGACCTGGTGATGTTTTGTACATTCCCATCTATTGGTGGCACCACATTGAGTCACTCATGAGAGGTGGTTACACGATTTCAGTCAACTTTTGGTATAAGGTATGCCATGTTTGCTGTGTTTTGTGGTCACTTTGTTGCAGAAAGTGTCGTTTCATAATTGTTAGCAGATAATGACCGCCTCTGTGGTCTAGTGGTCAGAGTTCCTGGGTACAGATTCAGAGGTCCTGGGTTCGATTCCTGGCGCTTCCAGATTTTCTGAGAAATAGTGGGTCTGGAATGGGGTCCACTCAGCCTTGTGAGGATAATTGAGGAGCTTTTTTAAGGAAATATCGGCTCTGGTCTAGAAAACCGAGATTAATGTCCATGGGGATCTGTTGCACTGACCACGCGACACCCTCTATCTGCTGAAGGTGGCACTAACTTCGCCGACAAGCAGCGGTCGTTTGGTCGATATAGTTCACTTGCAGACTGCAGGCCACGGAGTTTGTTAGCAGCTAATACTAAGGGATGCTGCATTTAATGACACTTTGTAAGCAAACTGAAGATATAACAAATAAGAAAATAATTTTATTTGATATGAATTACCATTTACATAATAAGCATTAGTGTCTTTAGCGTCGTCACCCATTGACGTGTCAATGAGTGTGTGTTCCTGTACCTTCTTGTCTTATACATATTATCACCTGTTAAGTGACTGTATCCAGGGTTTGGATTGGCAGTTGGATATATTGTGCTCTTAAGGATTAGGTTTACAAGTAACTATAACAGTCTCATGGGTGTACATGCTTAACACATCTCTGCTGCACACACTAGCATACCCAGCCATGGTCTTCACTGCACTTCTGAATAATGTCTTCCAACAATGGACATTTCTCTGCTCCTAGACTTATGTTCTTGTGCCCTGGCGGCCATCTCATACTAACCCCTTCTAACTCTGCCATCTCAGGATTCCAAGACTGACTGGCTTGTCCTGTTGGTCCTTGCGGTTGACCCAAGAGAAAGCGCCTTTTGTTGCAGCTGCTATGTTACAGTATGACGTGGAAGTTGTGACAGACCCACAGAAAACGCTGCTTTCTGGAGTTGCTTCATTGTTGTGTGACAATGCTGCTGTCATGGAGAATCATTTATTGTGACATTGTATAGAGACCTGCCTCAGCTTTCAGCAAATATGTCACAGTTTTTTCTCATTTGGTGTCACTTTATCTCTGCTCTTTGTGGTTGTCGTTCATCTTTGTTTCCGAAGCTCATGAAGGAATCATATTTCTGTCTATATATATAATATGTTCTGTGTGTGACACATTTTTTTTGTAGTGTTTATACTTTTTGTGATCTTGTTTAATGTGCTAATGTTGGTTTTATGTTGCTTGTGGTCCAATCATTGATCTCTTATAAAACTTTGTCGTCAGTATGCGGTAATGTTACATCCCTCTTAGTTAGCATTCGAAGCAGCCTCCATAGTATAGGGGTAACATTCCCACCTCATGACTCAAGGTACGCGGTTTCAAACCTGGTGGAGGTCGTGGAATTTTTAAGGGCGAAAAAATTCAGGGAACAAGTCCTCCGGGAGGGACTTTAAGCCGTGGGTCCCGTGTCGTAGATAAACGGCACGTAAAAGATCCTCATGTCTCTAGGAGACCTCTGAGCGAAATTAGGCAATTATTTCCCGCCCAAGTAGTTTCCAATGCCTCTGGTNTAATAATAGTTAGCATTCAACTTTCTGCTCTGTACATCAGAATAGACAAAGAATACATCTGATATATTGTAAATTTAACTTTTTTTCAGACATTTCACAGTTCCAAATGATATGCCCAGCAGTCTGATAAATAATCAAGGCTTTCGATTTTGCTTTGTGACATGACACTAGTAAAGTCATCTGCTGCACGGTAATGGCTCGATAAACAAGTTTGCTTGTACTGTCACCTTCCCACTTGGACTCTTCACATTATCCTTTGTCTTCCTATTACTCATTTATGTGCCAAAATTTACAATTTTCTTTATTATACCATCCAAGTAATTTATTGTCAACTATGCAGGCATATCCTCGTGATACCTGTATCCTTAATTTCACCAATTTTAATTTTTTTGCAGGCTGGACCAACTGGGCAGATTGTATATCCACTTAAAGACCACCAAAAGGTAGCCATTATGCGAAATGTGGAGAAGATGCTTGTTGAAGCACTACAGGATCCGCACGAAGTCGGGCCACTTCTGAGGGCATTGGTTCTTGGGCGGTACACAGACTGAATAGGAATGCATGCAAGGAATGAATGAAAGGTATTGTACTGTGTGGTCTTTTGTATTATGAGGCTGTTGTTAGGCCTTGGTTGAATAGTCCAGATGTGCATTGGACACAGTTTATATGTAATTATATGTCCTGTTTTAATTATTTATGGTGAAATTTCCAGCACGTTAATTCTAAATGTCTGAAATAGATATTTTTATACAAACACCACATGAAAGCATGTTTCTCCATCACAGATTGTTAATGTGTCATTTGTTAGGTTCTTGTCCTTAGGTTTCCAGGGCTAAAGTTTAAAGTATAACTTTGGTTTACAGGAATAAGCCACACCGAATGTTTTCTGACATTTTGGCAAATGTTGCCGTTTTCATCTTCAGGGTTAATGTCTTTGTGGGGGTTTTAAGAGTCCTTATGTAGATCTGGCAGTGGCAGTTCTGAGTACATCTCTGGACTGCCGAGAAAAAATGGCATTTGTATAATCCAGAAACTGCTTAATAAACTGGCATCCTGTTGTATCCCTAAGAATGGTGGTTGGAGACAGGAGGACAGACTGAGCAGAAGTCTGTCGGCTGAATACGCTAGGACACTTACTGAAAGTCACTGTAGACAGTACAACACAGTAAACATATATTATACAGAATGACATTTCAGAATCAAGTAGTAATTTTTGGAGTCAAGAGTAGCACTATATATTCTGTTGAAGTCTATTGCAATCTGTTGCTGTGTCCAAAAACATGAGCTTACGAAGGGGCCTTGTGGCCACTGGTGTCAGATGCAGAAAGTTCACTCCCTCAGACTGTCGCTTGTCTTCTGTGACAGTGTCAATGTAACACATGCTGAGTAACCAGTTTGTTTCTTTTTATCTACTCATTGGATGGAGTTCAGTATTCTTAAGAACACAGCTTTGCATCTTGTATGGTATGATTCATAACAGATGAGCTATTAATATAGATTCTTGTACAACATGGTTACAAGTCATATGTATTGTATGTGTGTGTGTGTATTGGAGATGGTGTATGNCCCCCCCCCCCTTAGAGAAATGTAAGCAGTAATGATGCTTGTTTTATAGTGAATTAGATCATGTTTGCTTGCGTGCAAGCATGTGGTGCCCCAGTACATTCATGTAAACTTTTAAAACATTTTAATTTATACAGAATTCCATATTTAACCTTTTCAAGTGCTCATGCATGAAATATCTGTTCTTAATGTTTATAATACACAATTATGTAGTGCTAAACTTTTACCAGTGTTGGTTGTGTGTTTGAAACTCATATTTAAAGCTAGAAGTTTTGTAACTTCCATGGCATCACATTGCAAATTCTCTGTTTGATGGAAAGTCTTTTATTTTGGTATTTGAAACTTTCTCTTGAAGAGTGAAATGAATTTACTGTCATAGGCTAGCGGCCTCCGTAGCCTAGGGGTAACGTTCCCACCTCATGACTCAAGGTATGCAGGTTCAAACCCGGCGGAGGTCGTGGAATTTTTAAGGGCGGAAAAATTCAGGGAACAAGTCCTCCGGGAGGGACTTTAAGCCGTGGGTCCCGTGTCGTAGCTGTACGGCACGTAAAAGAACCTCATGTCTCCAAAGGAGGCCACTGAGCTAAATTAAGGACATTTCCTGCCCATCAGAAGTCTCTTAACGCCTCTGGTAGATGGGGGAAGCATTGAGATACCTCTGAGCCAGTAGAGGCCGACCTCGCTGGCTGAATAGGGACTGATGGTAAGCACCAATACCAGTAGGGTATAGAGGCTGCTAGAAGATTATATGGGGATGCACAATAGATCAAACTGGTCGCGGTGAATGGGGAAACCCACCCTCTCCAATAATAATAATAATAATAATTCAATTCAGTTCAATTCAATTCAATGCTTTATTTATTTACGTGCCGAGCTCAACAGCGGAGGCCAATTACAGAGTCAGCACGGAAAATATAAAACAACAAACAACAGACAATAATAAAAATCAAGACAATACACACATAGATAATA